TTCATAAATCTATGAACTTTGTTCACAATTTGGCAACACTGAAAGGAAAGGGTTATCACTCATCGAGAAAATTATTCCTCTAATCACATTCCCCATTACTCACATTTACTCCTCATTTGTAATGGATGTTTTTTGAGAAACCACTAGCTTGTTCCTAGTTACTCCAAAGTGCACCTTAATTACCTCCTATGCTCTTCTACCTAGTAACCATGAGGACAAAGATCAAATAAATAAATTTTTAGAAAATTTTGCGTTTGTTTCTAACATTTGGTTTATTTGGGGGGAGAAATTTCGATAATATTTTAATAGCAACCGCAATTTTCTTCGTAATGTTCACAAGCAGTGCCAAACGCAAAACGCCGGTTGAACGTAAGGATATATACAGTTTAAGGCCTTTACCGACCAGAGGATGAATCGTCTAACGTCGTAACCGCTACTAAGACCACCACTAAAGACTTTCAGCCAAAGACTTATAGAAGATCGAACAGGTTTAAAATGTTGCTCGCTTAAGCTTGTACGCTTAACGATGTTTCTTACTGTTTTAATGGAAGTTTATGACCTACCCGCCGAGAAGTCCAGCAAATGCGTTTATTCATTTCAACTTCATTTTATGCATGTATCGATAATGCTGGCAGTCCGAAGTCGAAAGGCAGTTGGAGGATCAAAATGCTGGTACGCCAATGGATTTTGGTGTAGAGCAATGGAGCGAAGGCTGGAAGAAAACAGTTGCTCTTCCAACAACAGCAAAATCAACTACACACAACAGTTTTTACTGTCTTGAGGGGATTCATATATTTTTCTTAGCTAATGTTTTTCGAAGACCAAATTCTTTCTACATTAGGAACTTTGCTCGTAGAACGAAAGGCGATGCAAAGCCGAACGGATCATATACCGAGCTGATAATAGCCAATATCTCTCTACTAGATGGCGGTCTTTCATTCAGCTGAATCCGAAATCCAAATTCATCACGGCTAATGTTCCGTAGAACACCAAGTGCTCTTTCGATAGATACCTTGTCAAAGATCCCTAACTGATTCTGCTCGTTCCATATCCGGCATGGCACCGCCGTCGCTAAATTTGAAACGAAATCCACCCTTGTTAAACGAAATCCACCTTTGTTAAACGAAATCCACCTTTGTTAAACGAAATCCACCCATAGCAAGCAGTTTTGGAAGATCACTGGCTAATGTTATTGCCTTATCTTCATCTTTTACAGATTTAAGGCAATCAACAACGTAGAAGTTACGCTTGACTATATTTGTAACTATGTTTTCAAATTTGTTGGTGTTATAGTCTGTAGTTTTGCGCAGAGCAAAATTGGAGCAACTTGGCAAAGAGGTCGCTCCAAACAAATGAACCGTCATTTGAAATTCTTCGGTCTCTAAGCCCAAGTCATTCTGTGGGCACCATAAGAAGCTCAGGGCATTGCAATCTTCAGGATGAACATTTATTTGATAGAACATAGATTCAATGTCGGCCATTGGGGCTATGGGCTCCTGTTTAAATCGAGTCAGAACACCGAACAACTTATTCGTCAAGTCCGGTCCCTGTAGTAGTTGGTCATTGAGGGAAGCTCCGTAGTAGACCGCAACACAATTGAACTTAACTCAAAGTTTGTCTGGCTTGCTCGAACTGAAAACTGGGTGATGAGGAAGGTACCATATTGCTTCATGGAACCTATTTAATGAATCAGCAGAGACCTTCCGTGCAAACTGTTTCTCAAACAGGTTATCCATGAATTCAGCATACTTGAAGAATAGTTTAGCACCCTTCAACAGCCTTTTCTTCAAAGGAGTTAAACGATGTTCAGCCAAAGGTCTATTATTTGGAAATCTAGGAGGAAAACTTTTCCATGGTAAAGCAATTTCATAATGCCCATTGCGAAGACGAATTGTGGATTCCATAATATTCACCGCACGTATATCTTCTTGAGACATTTCTACTTTGTTGTTGTATGAAGCAACTTTGAACTCAGCACACTATAACTTCTTAAACTGTTCACTCAGCTCATGATCGGATTGAATGTAGTTATTGAAGTGTTTGGTCCATTTTTTTCTTCCAAAAGGACCATTTATTGTCCATCCAAAGATAGTTCTCACAGCATATGGACCCTTACCATACACTCTCTAACTTCTTTAGGCTTCAACGCTTTAGGTACATCATTTCCAATGAGGATGCCAATAGAGGCATTGACGTTTGCCAGAGTAACACCCTTAAGATGTGGTCACCGATCGACGTCTGGTTGCGTTGGAATGCTAGACTCGTCGACTGGAAGCTTTTCTGTAGAAAACACCGTAGGACGCTCAATTATGCTCATTTCAATCAAATCAAACACTTCTAATTTAACAACGTGACATTCTGTTAAAGTGTTTTCATTCCTTAAGGTAGTGAGTGAAAGAATGGTTTTCTATCCAGAAATTTGAAGCTCTTCTAGCAGTTGGTTCGTACTAAATGTAGTGTTCGATCAAGCATCAAGAAAGGCATATGTTTTAATTCTCTCCACCAATTCTCTACATTCGACTTTAACTGGCACTATCACCAACCCAGTCGAGGAGATTCCGGCTCCATTGGGATCCCGTTGACAAACATCAACACTGACATAACCGTTGCTGTTGATTATCGTGTGGGGACCTTTACTTGTTCCATTCGATGCCTTATGCAATGAAGAGCTCTTCAAGCAAAGTTCTCAATTATAGGATGCAAAAATGTTGAATGCTTCTCTTGACATCACAAAACCTTGCAAAAGCTCTTCTTTGGGCAAGTTTTAACAAGATGAGCTTGTAGGAAACAACTATCGCAGAAACCCTTTTTTCGCACTATTCTTTTTCTGTTCTCAACAGTTTCTTTCTCGAATATATCACATTGAGATAACCAATGATTACCATGACACATTGGACATTTAAGAAATATTCCAGCTCCAGTTTCGAGTTCAACTATATTTGATTGTTGATCGTTTCCAGGGTCCTTTCCAATTGTTCCGAAGGCATCCTTACCTCGAGGACCTTTAGGATCTTGAGCAATTCTAATTTTTGAATCATTATTAATCTTGCCGAAAATAGGATGATTTAATGCTCTCGCTTTCACCTCGACAAATCTTGAGATGTCTTCGAAAGTTACCTCTCTTTTCTTATTACTTGTTATATCGTCTGCTATGTCACACCATTTTTGTCTAATACAATAAGGTAATTTACTGAAAATATTTTGCAAACTAACCAAATTGTCAAATTTGTTGAAGTAACCTATTTCTTTAAGAGTGTTTTTGCAGCTGATAAGCAATACAGAGAATCTTCGGAGTGCTTCACCATCTTCAGCTCTGATTAGGGGTACCTCCATTATTCGTTGTAAGTAGGCCGCAGCTATTCTATAATTTGGACCATAATGCTCCTTCAAAAGTTTCCTTGCGACCAGATATCCTTCTTTGCGGACCATAATGCTCTTTGAAAAGTTTCCTTGCGACCAGATATCTTTCTTTGTGGACCATAGCGCTGCTTCAAAAGTTTCCTTGCGACCAGATATCCTTCTTTGTGGATCATTGACAAGCAACTTCGCATAAGCTCCTGAACATCACCAGATGTATATTGAATTAAATAGTGCAAACGTGTATTAGTGCTAGTTGTTTTCGCTTCAATAATATTTTTAAACGATCGTACAAAATGACAATATTCAACAGGATTTCCACCAATTGTTGCTACTTGAGCGTTAGGTAGTGACATTGAAAGAGCTTATTGTTGGTGTTCACCAAGCAGTTCCTGGAAATCATTGTCCCTAGCCTGTTGCATTTTCAGTATCCGTTGACTTTGCTGCTGCTGTTCATTTTGCATATCCAACATATCGTGCAAGAAATTTTTTGCTAGTTCTGAATCATCCAAAATTCCAATCTTTGATGCGTCTAATTCGTGAACCGTTTTAAACGACTATCGCGTTACGACCGATTTTGGTTGTTCCTGCGAAACATGAGATCCTTTATGAGTTTTATCTCTTGTTGGTGCATTTACACCAGCATCTTGAGGGAGTGGTCGAGAAGTTAGCAGTATTGGTTTAGTGCAGTTTTCGCCGTTCTTTTGTCAACATGGAACTTTATTGTATTTAACGTTTACTGTTAGCATCCTTCTGCCTTATTTCTGCCTCAATTCTGCCCTATTTCATGAGAATCTGTTAGATTTACTCGCGAAGAGAATCAGGCAAAAGCTCCATAAGTCCCAGCTACACTGTAAGCCTTTTCGTCTGCTTCAACTTTTGCTATTTCAGCCTTCAGCTGTAGTTGGTGTCTCCTTTGTTTGAGGCCCATTTCTTCTTCTTCCTGTCGTTGTCGGTGAATCAACTCTTAATATTTTAAGTAAAGCTCTTGTTCGTCTAAAGATTGATGTTCCTTCAAAGCAGTTGCTTCGACTATCAAAGCTGCTTTCTTTGCTGCCACCTTTGCTTTTCCACTTAGGTTATTTGACCGGGCTTTGGATCTAGATCAGGGGTTCTTAATCTGGGGTCCATGAACCCCTAAGGGGTCCATGATGGTGCTTTAAGGGGTCCGCAAATCCAAATAAGAATATCTACAGTAGGCTACGTATTTCTATTGACCGATTAGAACCTAAAAAAGCAACATCGTTTAATGATCGTTCGAAATATATGCTCACAAATCTTTGGACGGAATAAAAACAAGATGTTTTCGCCTTCGATATGTATATTTAACTGAAGTATGATTGACATGTTTTTCTTTTCTATTGTGCATTTATAATTAGTAGTCTAATGTTTCTTACACATCGCATTTGTGATAAATAGGCCTATGTAATCATACACAATGTCTATGACATAGACATTGTGTATGATTCTATTACGACATAGACTCTATGTCGTAATAGAATAAATAGATTGAACAAAAAACCGTGCACGTGTATGCTGCATTGAGTATTATAGAAAGCTGTCAATTTGCTTATGTGTTTTCTACTACAAAGGTTTATAACCTGGAAGGATAAATAAATTAAAAATTTTACCAATTTAAAAAAATGTCGAAGAAGAGAAAGTACAGTGAAAATTATGTAGCTTTTGGTTTTACCTTTATTACTGATAGTGATGGCAGCAAAAGGCCGCAATGTTTTCTATGTGGTAAAGTCCTTGCCAATGCAAGTTTGAAGCCAGCGAAACTGAAAGAGCACCTCATATCTATTCATCCTAAAAATGCACTGGATAGTGTTGATTCTTTTCGTTCTAAGAAGGCTCGATTTGAGAAATCAGGGACTTTGCCGAAGTTCGGATTCATCAAGACGCAGAAGCCTTGCCTTGAAGCATCTTATAAGGTCGCTTACCGCATTGCCAAGGCAAAGAAAGCTCACACTATCGGAGAGACATTGATAAAACCGTGTGCTCTGGAAATGACTGAGCTAGTATGTGGCACAGAACAAAGAAAGAAACTTGAAGCCGTTTCCTTGTCAAACGATACCATCAGCTCCAGAATTATTGACATTTCTAATAATATTCTGAAACAAGTAATGGAGGAACTTAAAGCATCACCATTTCCATTTAGCATGCAACTGGATGAAAGCACAGATGTCTCTCAGTGTGCCCAGCTTCTTGTATATGTTCGTTATATGCACGCTGATGCAATTAAAGAAGAATTCCTATTTTGCGAGCCTCTCTCAGAAACTACAAAGGCTGCAGACGTATTAGAGATGGTGAACAATTTCTTTGCCAAACAAGACTTCAATTGGAAGAGAAATATTGGTAGTTTGTGTACCGACGGAGCGCCCGCAATGCTTGGAAAAACCTCAGGGTTTGCTTCGTTGGTAAAGAAAGAAGCTCCTCACATCATTGTGACTCATTGCTTTCTACATCGACATGCATTGGCATCAAAAACTCTATCACCAGCTTTAAAAGAAATTTTGTCTGTTTCTGTAAAGATCGTCAACTTTGTCAGAGCTCGAGCTTTAAACAATCGTATATTCAAAAGACTTTGCCAAGAAATGGGTGCACAACATGAAGTACTTTTGTACCACACTGAAGTTCGCTGGCTTTCGAGAGGTCAAGTTTTGAAGCGTTTGATGGAACTGAGAAAGGAAGTTTCATTCTTCTTACGAGAAAAACAAAATCCTCTATCAGTGCAATTTGACAGAAAGGAGTTTCTTTATGGCTTAGCTTACTTGGCAGATATTTTCGGTCATTTGAATGAAGTAAATCTGTCATTTCAAGGACCAGATGTAACGATTATGGACGTTACAGAAAGACTGCAGGCTTTTCAAGCAAAGCTTCCTTTGTGGAAAAGAAGACTTGAGACAGACAACTTTGCCAACTTCCCAATGCTGGAGGAAGTGATCTCTCAAACTCGAATCGATAATACTGAAGCCCTGCTTTCCTCTCTACGTGGAAATATGTGCGAAAATTTAGACAGATTGCAGCAATCTTTTGAAAGTTATTGCTCACATGATCCGAATTTTGAATTGTGGATTCGCAACCCATTTCTTGCAGATCTAAATTCTATTGGTGATGACGATCTTGCCAAAGATGACCTCATTGAGTTGAGGACAATGCAAATGCTAAGGAGCGAATTCAATTCAAAGAACCTTGCAGAATTCTGGTGTTCCTTGGCACAAGCGTATCCTCGCCTGGTGAAGAGAGCCATGGTTTCTCTTATTCCTTTTGCTACTACCTACCTCTGTGAGGCAGGGTTTTCTGCTCTTCTTGCTATCAAAACGAAACAGCGAAATCGGTTGGATGCTAAGGACAACATGCGTGTGGCCCTGGCAAAAACCGTCCCACAATTTCGTGTTCTTGTTGAAGATAAGCAGGAGCAACCTTCGCATTGATTTAAAAAGTTATTTGCGTTCTACTTATTGGTTACTGCACTGTATTTTTTGATTCTTTATGGTTTTGTAATTGTTGTATAACTTAATTGACTCGGTAATTGATTTATTATTCATTATTATTCGTTGAATTATTAATTTGCTTCTGTTTGGTCTGCAAATTTCTGGACTATATTACTAAGTTAATTAAAAGCTAATTTTGACAATTGCGATGTGTTTCTTCTAAAGGGGTCCAAAGCTTTCATTAGAATGTTTTGGGGGTCCGTGACCAACAAAAGGTTAAGAACCCCTGATCTAGATAAACTTGTGATTGAACCACGTGATCTAACACGGCTCTTCTCTCCGACGTTACTAATCGAGTCATTTGGCTTTATCTGGACTTCGGACATCGATGGTTGTTTTGTAAACTCTTGCAGCCATTCGTTTAAGGTCCTTTAAAAATTTTCAATTCTTTGTTGTTCAATTTGAAGGTATTCGTTTGAGTCTTGGTGATCATAATCCTTTTATGATGACGCTGGTGGGCGTTTTAAAATCTATTTACAACTTCGTTGAATTCTTGTGATTTAATTGTTTGCTTCGCTCAAGCTTCGAAAGCTCAATTTTGATTTGGTTAACTCCTTCATCTTTTTTGTAAATGCGCCTTTTGCAGCAGATCGTTTTCTTCGTAGTTGTTCAGATGTTTCGAGAGTTGAAGGTTCTTCTTCCCTGGTGAGAGCTGGGGTGGTTTGCTTTGTTTGTTCATTACTCATTACGCTCTTCGCTTCGTTGTTAGATTCAGCCATTCAAAAGATCGTTAATTAAAAACAGGGCCTCGTCGATATATCAGTTGATAAGGATAAATTCTTTGAACTTTTTGTAGAATTCGACTAAGGGCTCAAACCATTCTCTGCCAAGTTTCTAATACTTTGAGACGCGCATTACTTTATTACGTACGATTCAACTAAATAATTACAAATAATTGTAACAAATGCATAAAAAAAGAAGGAATAAATTCATCTAAGTATTAACAGAATGTACAGCGTTACTAGGCAGAGAAGTTTATTTGATCTTATTCAGACTACAGTTTGATCCAAATGTCTGTCGTCTCCTATCTGACATCAGAACCGGAAACGTTTTGAATCCAACACAATGTATGTTAATATATTTCACAAACACCAAGATAAGACACATGTATCCAATGTTTCGATCGGCCAGCGTATTTAACGGAATAAATTTCGGTAAATATTTATTAAACATTGCCAGTATCGATAATAACTATTGTCATCAATATAGAAACACAGACAACACACGTATTTGTACTTCTCCTGGCTGTAGGTTACACTGCCAACCCAGATTATGAAGGCCTATGTTCTGTTTGTTTCATCAAATTGCATGCATTATTTCAAGAGGGTCAGTTATGGTAGCCCTATCAGGCAAGAATAAACATCGAATGTGGAAGCAGTCAAGACAAGATGTCTGACTGAAGAATGTCAATTCTTCGGCATTCCAGAGAATGATAACTTGTGTTCACAATGTTACGCAAAGGCATTGCAACTTGAGTATGACTTAGAGTCTGAAAAGAAGATCAAAACTGAATAAGAACGACCTAGAAGGAGCTGGCAAATAGCACAACAGCAAAGAATACAAATCATGACTTGCACAGGCTGTATTATGTAAATGAACCCCAATATTATCAGGTAAATATTTGTTGTTGAATTAACTAAACAAAGAAATTTCTCACAAAATCTCTAGAAATCAATAAATTGTACTCATTTTCTCCAAAAATCTTTTATCACATTTGCAACCTCATGTATAGAAGAGTTGTTTATATTTTAGATAATTGTTGAGAGACAAAGTATTTCTGCGCCTTCATCACCAGCAAAAAGGCGACCATCAAAGTTAATACCATGTGTAACTAAAGGTTGTGGATGTTTTGGTACAGAAGAAGATCAGGGTCTTTGTCATAAATGTTTAAAGAAGAAAGAAATGCTTTTCTTAGAATAGACAGTTGGTGTGAACAGTTTTCAACAACTTTTGTTTCAATGAACAAGAAATATTGTCATACTATAAGGTTTAAATCCTCATATCTAAAGAGCTGTCTTGATATTAGTAATAAAGTAATATATTCGCTTACTTATAGATGTAGATATGCACTTCGTACGTGTGGCTATAGCCTCATAATAACGACGTCTTTTCTCGTTTATAACATTTCTGCACTTAACTCATAATTTATTCTTCGAATATAACGTTAAAAGCGATTACAAATACTGAATTTATGATAATGCTCCATAATCAAGGGTGCTAGATCATTTTCGTGAATTAAACAATGAGAGACAACGCTGGTTTCCTGAATTTTACGGTACAAGAGAAGTAACTTCAGTTAGTAGTGATTCACTTAAATTTAGCATACCTTTTCATAAGACAATTTTGTTCTTCTGTACGACGCAAATAAACAAAAAATCACAGACGTAAGTTTGTCAAAGGTGTACTACCTTTGTACTTTTAAGTGTCCATTACAGTTGTCTAGCTGTCACAAATGTTCTTATGCGTAAAAACATATGTGACAGCCCTTACAAAAATATTTATAGAGCACTACATTGAAGCAATGTATTGGATATTCAATGGAATATTCTACAGTATATTCATGGGCCCGAAGCACAATCGGACCTTGGAGCCCTTCGTGTTTCGCGATACTCGGACACATTACGATCCAAGAACTCAACAAATGCAACAAATTTTTTCAGCTACAACCACAAAAACAATCTGCACAACACAACACTTGCAAAACACCCTAACACCAATAACCATTACAACCACCTTTTTACAAAAAAAAACAGCCACCACAACACATTACTATCAACAGCAACCACTACAATATTTATGAAATGACAATCCAATCCATATTCACTATAAATGCAATTATGCAAACAGGTTTTACATACACTTTGAATTGCAAAGTTTAAAAAGGTTATACGATTTTCATAACAGGGACCCGAGTCGTTATGGAACTGCATAGAAGTATTTCTTCAATAGATGTTGCCACTGCGGAAATTATTCGTGATTCAGTTGATGGGGATGTCACTATCCCTGCAGATCAGGGAAAACATCGATTCTTATTGACATCATCGCGATACACTTTTTTGTTCCCGAATCTTTCTTGTTTCAAAAGAGATTTTCAAGAATTTTTGTACGCAACCTTAGTAAACATTGCTCTTGAAAATGAGTTGGAAAACAACAGGTCGCTCAACTGGTGTAAAATTCTACCGAAGTTTATTCCGATAAACACCTTGGGCGATGGAAATTCTTTGATGCATGCAGCTTCACTTGGTATGTGGGGTATTCATGACCGAAGATTAACGCTGAGAAAAACTGTTTATCAAGTTCTGATTGAAGACCAAACAGGTTTGAAAACTTTACTCACGGATTTGATGATGCTGTTTTTATAAAACGGTGAAAATTCACTATTAAAAATTAGTTAGCAGTACGAATTATATGAATTTGAACGGAAACTCTGTTTTGATGACAGATGCTCGTAGCAACGCACCCGCGTTGTCTTGACAACGAAGTGTTAAAAAACAAGGAGCGTTGGTTTTTCATTCATCCAGTAAGAAATTAGTTTACAAAACTCCTTTCTAACTTCTTTATACTTAACTTCTTTTTACTACCTTACATTTTTTTCATTTAAACTATTTTTAAAAATATCTTATTAAATTTTCGGCCATATACTGCAGCTTTCTTCAGAAGTAAACCAGAAGAACATGATGATTTCATATATTGAGCTATCTATCTTATTCACAATGAAATGAACGATTCACAAAAGAAATAATTAGAATATATATCTATAAGGCTCCGTTTACACTATACCGAATTACTATCGTAGCAGTCGTAACAGGTTAAATTTCTTTTGTACTAAAAGGCAGTGAATTTGTTCAACGTCAGAAACACAATCAAATCGACTAAATTTATCAACTTAATAAGCTTTTACTTCGTACAATTACCCCTTTAAAGCAAATGAAGATGTCGTGATGAGCAAACCGGTATAGTGTAAATGCAGCTATAGTGTGTGATTTAAGAATAATAATTCATTAAAATGTTTCATTGAATGAAAAAATAGTGCTTAAAATAAACAAGTAATTACATCATAGTCGGTTCTTTAGGGAACTCGTTCCCATGGTCTGACATCTTACATAAATTCTCTGTTAAATGAAACAACTGGAAAAACCATGCGCGCTTAATGACTATGAAGTAATCTCTATATCTTAGTCATTTAAACTTCAATTTCGGCATGTATCAGAAACGCTGGCAGTCGGAAGTGAAAAGGCAGTTGGAGGATCAAAATTCTGGTATACCAATGGATTTTGGTGTAGAGCAAGTGTATGAAGACTGGAAGAAAACCGTTGCTCTTGCATCAACAGCAAAATCAACCAATAACCATAGTTTTTATTCTCTTGAAGAGATTCATATATTTGCCTTAGCTAATATTCTGCGAAGACCAATTCTGGTGATATGTGACGATTCTCATCGTGGTGCTGGTGTAAACCTTGGTGGCATATACTTACCACTGTTGTCAGACTTGGTGGATTGTATAAAACTCCTCTTTGATTGGCTATCACCATGGACATTTTACAGCACTTGTGATGGCAGAAAATAATGAGAGAGGGCATACATTGGCCGATCACAAAATGGTGATTGGAGTACCATTAATGAAACATAATGGCCAGCCTATGAAACTCCGTTGTTTGTTACCAGAGGAAAGAAATTACTCTGATCGACTACAACGGGAATATTTAAACTGTTTAAAGTTACATTACACATTTGACAATGAGTGTGAAATGAAAATACTCGTCGCTGAAATGGAAGCTTGTGAACAAAATCCACATGTTTATGGAATGTTAAAAAGATATTTTAAATCAATGGAAGATATACATTTGGAAACATTGACATTGAATCAGCTATCACTTAATGACCAAAGGACAATCACATCATATTCAACAAAACATGAAGACCATTTTAAAAATAGTAAAGAGCAGAAACCATGTGCCAAGATTAACTGCAGAAACATTGCCAGTATCAATAGCAATTATTGTCATCAATGTAGAAACACAGACAACACCCGTATTTGTACTTCTCCTGGCTGTGGTTATACTGCCAACCCAGATTATGAAGACTTATGTTCTACCTGTTTCACAACATTGAAATCTATACTACACGAGGGAACAAAGACGGCAACTCCTTCAGCGTCACCTAATGATAGATGTTACAATAACTGCGTGAACAAAGGAAATGATGACTTTGGCGGCCTGTGTTATGATTGCTATAGAGAGAAATTTCTCAATTATCGTTCTTCAGCAAAAAAGGACGTCGGACAATCCAGATCCGTTGTCCAATGCAATAGAACTAGAAAAACAACCAACATGGGAAGGAAAGATGGAAAGAAATTTCAGGTTTGTGATTTTAATGATCAGAGAACAATGGCATCATATTCAACAAAATATGAAAACCATTTTAAAAATAGAAAGGAGCATAAACCATGTGCCAAGATTAACTGCAGAAACATTGCCAGTATTGAAAGCAATTATTGTCATCAATGTAGAAACACAAACAACACACGTATTTGTACTTCTCCTGGCTGTGGTAACACTGCGAACCCAGAATATGAAGACCTATGTTCTGTCTGTTTTACAACATTGAAGTCTATACTACACGAGAGACCAAAGAGGGCAACTCCATTTGTGTCAGTTAGCGATAGATGTTATAATGACTGTATGAACAATGGAAATGAGGACTTACGTGGCCTATGTTATGATTGCTACAAAGAAAAGTTTCTCAACTGTCGTTCTTCAGGAAAAAAAGATATCGGACAATCCACATCCAATGTGCAAGGTAATACAATTAGAAAAACAACAAACAGTGGAAGGAAAGATGAAAAGAAATTTCATGTTGTTAACGCAAGTTCATCCACGCGCTCAGTTAACGTTGTATCCCATCCAAACTGTGCGAAAATTTCGCCAATTTCAAGAAAAGTAGAAACGGTCGAGAGAAGATGTCTGACTAAAAAATGTCTGTTCTTTGGTACTCCAGAGAATGAAAACTTGTGTTCACAATGTTATGCAACTCTAAAACTAAAGTCGGAAAAGAAGACTCAAGACAGAAAAAAAACGAGATAAAAAGAACAGGAAAATAACGCAACAAGCCATGCTTTGCACAGGTTTCATTACGAGAATGAACTTCATTATCAGGAGAAGGAATTATTTGCCAACTTTTCAGTTTCACCTAGAGTAAGGTTTTTTATTTTTTAGCCAATTTTTGGTGAGAAAAGTGCTGCAGCATCTTCATCACCAGCTCAAAGGCTGTGGATGTTTTGGAACAGAAGAAAATCAGGGTTTTTGTTATAAATGTTTTGAGTCAGGGAGTATCCGTTACATGTTTAAAGATGTAAATCGTCCAAGTTAGTAAAGTCCCGAGAAGAATTGTAACTGTTGGTGTTGATGTTAATGTATTCAATGTATTTAATGTATTTACCATGAAATGTATTCACTTACTTATATAAATGTTGGTATACATTGGATGTGACAAGCCTCATACACAATTTCGTAACAATTGCAAATATTGGCAATGTTGACATTTATTTTTCATACGCCACTTTCGCTAATAAGTTATTATTCAAGAGGGTAGGACAATTATGCAAGCCATGACAAAGATAGCACTTAGCTATAATATTAGTAATGGTAATGACCCACTTGAGTACTACTACTCAAATCACAGACATCATGAGACTCAAGAGTGAGGGCATCAAAAGATAAACGCATTAAACTATGGAAATAACTTGTAGCACACTTATTTTCGTTTGTGGTTGTTTGATAAAAACAATCTGTCAAATTCTTACCAAAGATGTGACAGGTAAGGAGCTCGGGTGTGTGATGAGGAACACGCGAAGAACAAATAAGTCCTTATTCATTTAAACTTCATTTTAGGCATGTATCGACAACGCTGGCAGCTGGGAATCGTAAGGCAGTTGGAGGATCAAAATGCTGGTATCCCAATGGATTTTGGTGTCGAGCAATGGAACGAAGACTGGAAAAAACAGTCGCTCTTCCAGCAACACCAAGTTTTTACTGTCTTGAGGAGATTCATATATTTGCCTTAGCTAATATTCTTCGAAGACCAATTCTGAAAATATGTGCCAATTTTAATCGTGGTGACTTCGTACATTCATCAAATTTTTGCACTTAACTGATAATTTTTCTTCATATATAATGTTAACAACGATTACAAATATTCAATTTATCGTAATGGCTCCATAATCAAAGGTGCTATTTCAATGCTAAGCCTTCAGCCCTTCGTTACAACACTTGCAAAACACCCCAATACCAATAACCATTAAAAGCTCCTAATAACAAACAAAAACAGCTACCACAAAACGCACATTACTATCAACAGGAACTTCTACATTGACAATGCAACCATATTTCCACTATAAATGCAATTATGCAAACAGTTCTTTTAGATACACTTTGAATTGCAAATTTTAAAATATATCATAGGCTTATCATAACAGGGACCCCAGTCGTTATGGAACTATAGAAGTATTAGCGAGCTTTAGCAAAGCCTACGAGTACGACTACGAGTACGATTCACGTCATTTTGGAGCGAAAACATTGTTGCGACAACAACAACATGCAGCCGTCATCAATTTGTGTACGATGTTTTGTAAAAAATTCGTAGTCGCGACTACGATGTCTTTTTAAGCAAAGAAAGTAGGTATATTTCTTCATTCTGTAAGAAATTAGTTTACAGTACTATTTTCGAGCATCCAGGCTTTAATTTAGAACCCTTTTTGAGCGCAGATGTACATTAAAAAGGAAAATATGACGTGTAAAACTTTCATTTAATTTTGGAAGCAAAGTGAAAGATAAACAAACAATAAAATAGTACAAATATATCGTACATAAAACTTAAAATAGTGAAGATTTTTCAGTCTAAAGAGTCCTATATTCTCGCAAAATCAGTATTGATCAGATATCATTATTGACAAATAGAGCCGTAGCTGCTTCGCTATTAGGGAGTTTTAGCAGAGCCTACGAGTACGACTACGAGTACGATTTACGTCATTTTGGCGCGAAAACATTGTTGCGACAACAAAAACACGTAGCCGTCATCAATCTGAATACGATGTTTTGTAAAAAATTCGTAGTCGCGACTACGATGTCTTTTTAAGCAAAGAAAGTAGGTATATTTCTTCATTCTGTAAGAAATTAGTTTACAGTACTATTTTCGAGCATCCAGGCTTTAATTTAAAACCCTTTTTGAGCGCAGATGTACATTAAAAAGGAAAATATGACCTGCAAAACTTTCATGTATTTCGTACGCAAAGTGAAAGGTAAACAAACAATAAAATAGTACAAATATATCGTACATAAAACTTAAAATAGTGAAGATTTTTCAGTCTAAAGAGTCCTATATTCTCGCAAAACCAGTATTATCGATTCTTTGATATCATTATTGACAAATAGAGCCGTAGCTGCTTCGCAAACGTCGGTGTTTTACACAATAAAAAGGCTCGTTCTGTTGTTTACAACTAAATTAAAATTTTGACGAAGCGACAACGACAACAACCTTCCTCGTGCCATTCCCTTACACGGTCAAATTTCGTACTCGTTCTCGTAGTCGTACTCTTGCTAAAACTCCCTAGTGACGAAGTGACAACGACAACAAACTTCCTCGTGACATTCTCTTACACGGTCAAACTTCGTACTCGTTGTCGTAGTCGTGCTCTTGCTAAAGCTCCCTAATGAAAGAGGCCCAGCGACACAATAACGCCTTCGAGAAATTACACGCATTTTAAGAGCTCGTAAAAGTGTTTCTTCTGGATCAACTCTGCGCATCGATTGACGAATGCGTGTTTGTTGGACAAATACACCTCTGGATCGCAAAAGACCTGTCGTTCTTTTCGAGCCAACGTTCGGAAAGTCTTTCTGAATGTTCGATATCACCTCGTCTTGTTCGTGTAAAAGCTGAGTAACAGTTTGCAGCTGATAATCCACATTCATGCATTTTCCTTTCTACAGTTCGTTTACTTGTACCAAATAATTCAACAATCTCTGCGACTTTATATTTTTTCTCCAATAAAAATTGAAGCTGTTCAAACGAAATTTCAATCCGTGGCCTTCCTCTCTCACCACTGAAGATAGTTTGCGTCGACACTATCTTGAGCCATCACAATAATAAAATAGAGAAGGATTTATTAATAACGTTTTTATTTCTTCTTGTAACAATTTGTAACAATTTTGTTGTAAAAGTCTTATGTTGGGCTATTATTTTCATATTGAAAATTCGCTTTCCGCCTGGCAAATCTCTGGCCACGATTTTAAATAAACGCTACAAAAACGAAGAACTCGAAGCGTTCAGGAAATTCCAGCGTCTTGAACTCAAGCTTGGAAAAGCCAAACTCGACCTGGAGTTCCTTATAACGTGTAAGAAGCGCTCGATAATACCAAGATTCCTATGGTTTAAGGTTGCTAATCGCAGATTGCGATCCTCTAGCGCCTATCGACAATGTCAACACAAATTGTTACAAGAAATAAAAACGTTATTAATAAATCCTTCTCTATTTTATTATTGTGATGACTTTTTTAAAAGTCTTATGTTGGGCTATTATGTTCATATTGAAAATTCGCTTTCCGCCTGGCAAATCTCTGGCCACGATTTCTGTCTAATTTTACTTTACTATACTTTACACTTGGAATGAATCGTTCCGAATGTGGAGAGTTGCAAAATATAACGTGTTCAAATTTATGATGCTATTACAAATTTACCGCGAGCAATGTTATAGTTCCTATGATTTTGTTTACACTTCTTTCCGTTTATTCATCATGTAAACGACCGCAATTTATCACAATAAATACTTGTTTTGTATATGGTTTATTAAGCCATTTCGTATCAAACCGGTTTCTATATGTAATAACAAACGCGTTGCATTATTTTAACTTTCTCAAATTACTGAATTACTGTGTATTTGAAAATCTTAAGAGTATACAAAGTTATACAGGCAGTCGAAATTTATTTCAAAGAATTAAGTTATGGAGATTTGTGTGTCGTAGCTTTTGCTATTTACCACATTTATTACGCTGCGAGTCATCAAAAGTGTATCGCGAATCGCGACATGTTAATTTGCACCACAGAAAGTAAAATCTTTGTAATTCAATAGTTCGTGGTAAATTTGTAACATCATCATAAACGTGAGCACGTTATTTTTTGCAACTCCCCATAGTCTGAAGGGTTCATTCCAAGTGTAAAGTATAGTGAAGTAAGTTAAATGACTGTAAAATTCTAATTTCGTCGTGGATATGCAATTTGAGAGAGAGCGTACAGACAGTAGAGAAAGACAAAGATCTGAGTCTTTTGACTGAATTTACACAATTCGTCATATTCGCCTTGAAAGCAAAGAATAGAACCTTGTATAATAAAGTTAGCATAATTAATCTATGTTTAAATAGTTAGTATAAATAAGGTATGTATAATGACTAGTTAAGAGGTTGAGCTTAAGTTAACTTATATAAATTATCTTCATTACACGCCGAAACGAATACGACATGACGTCAGTAAACATTCAACATGAGCCCGCAGTACTTTTGTTGCAACTACTTTTTTGTGTCATAAAGGCTATCCAAATGCACACATTGCGTGTTTATTTTAGCCGCAAGTATAACAGGCTTGCATTTTCGCAAAAAGTATTTCCGTTATACACCCATTCCGTTTCGTTGACTCAATTGATAGGGATGTCACCATCCCTGCAGATCAAGACAGACATCGATTCCTATTAACATCACCGCGATACACTTTCCTATTCCCGGCTTTTTCTCGCTTGAATAAAGATCTTTGCGAATATATTTTCACAGCTTTAGTGAACATTGCCCTTGAAAATGAGTTGGAAAACAACAGGTCTCTCAACTGGTGTAAAATTCTACCCAAGTTTATTCCGATAAAGACCTTGGGCGATGGAAATTGTTTGATGCACGCGGCTTCACTTGGTATGTGGGGTATTCATGACCGAAGATTAACGTTGAGAAAAACTGTTTATCAAGTTCTGATTGAAGACCAAACAGGTTTGAAAATGTTGCTCGCTTTTAAATTGTGGCTTTAATAATGTATATTTAATTGTAATTTGATCAAAATTGCACGATTTTAATAAAGATCAAATGAGGGTCAATGACCAACCAATCGTTGCATTTAACAAATAAGTCCTTATTCATTTAAACTTCATTTTAGGCACTTATCGACAACGCTGGCAGTTGGAAGTCGAAAGGCAGTTGGACGATCAAAATGCTGGTACGCCAATGGATTTTGGTGTCGAGCAGTGGAGTGAAGACTGGAAGAAAACAGTCGCCCTTACAACAACACCAAGTTTTTACTGTCTCGAGGGGATTCATATATTTGCCTTAGCTAATGTTCTTCGAAGACCCATTCTGGTAATATGTGACGATTCTCATCATGGTGACTGTGATGACCAAATTGCTGGTGTAAACCTTGATGGCATATACTTACCATTGTTATCTGATTCGGTGGATTGTATCAAAACCCCTCTGATTGGCTACCAGCATGGACAGTTTACAGAATTTGTGATGGCAGAAAATAATGAGAGAGTACCATTAATGAAACATGATGGTCAGCCTATGAAAGTCCGTTTTTTGTTACCAGAGGAAAGGAATTACTCTGATCGATTACTGCGGGAATATTTGAACTGTTTAAAGTTGAATTACACTGATGAAAATGGGTGTATAATGGAAATACTTGTAGCGAAAATGTAAGCCTGTGATACTTGTGGCTAAAATAAGTACGCAATGTGTGCATGTGGATAGCCTTAATGAGACATAAACGTAATTGCAATAAACGTACTGCGGGCTCATGTTGAACGCTTACTGACGTCATGTCTCTGTATTCGTTTGGCGTGTAATGAGCATAATTTGTAATAAGTTAACTTAAGCTCAACTTTTTAAGCAGCAGAGAATATTTTACATTATAATGTAATTTGATCAATTATGTTAGTCATTGGAAATACTGTATGATAAACATATTTTATTGATACAACATGAAGTATAGCTATGAGCAAGTTATCATCACTAAAGTCAACGAAAATGATCTTCTATCTTTTTGAAAATGAAGCTGTCGTCAGCATTATGTTTTTTACAGTCAGTTAGTCAGTTAACTTACTTCACTATACTTTACACTTGGAATGAACCCTTCAGATTATGGAGAGTTGCAAAAAATAACGTGCTCACGTTTATGATGATATTACAAATTTATCACGAACTATTGAATTACAAAGATTTTACTTTCTTGGGTGCAGATTAACATGTCGCGATTCGCGATACACTTTTGAGGACTCGCAGCGTAATAATTGTGGTAAATAGCAAAAGCTACGACACACAAATCTCCATAACTTAACTCTTTGAAATAAATTTCGACTGCCTGTATAACTTTGTTTACTCTTAAGATTTTCAAATACACAGTAATTCAGTAATTTGAGAAAGTTAAATAATGCAAAGCGTTTTTTATTACATATACAAACCGGCTTGATAACAAATGGCCTAATAAGCCACACACAAAACAAGTATTTACTGTGCTAAATTGCGGTCGTTTACATGATGACTAAAAGGAAAGAAGTGTAAACAAAATCATAGGAACTATAACATTGCAAGTGCCAAGCATTAAATTCCTTTCAAATACCTTTATGTCTCATTGACAGTCGATTACAGCTGAATCATGCAAAAGTTAAACGTCGTCTGATTTCAATGGGTTGTAGTTTTAATACACCTAAGATCGTTTACTTAAACTTTTACCTGCTTATCGTAGCTCTCAAGATCATGGTTACACTTCATACAATTTGGAGCACAGAGGTGTAAATATATGAAACTTTTTATCGGTTGTGCTGGGAATATTAAATTTAGAAGTGGACTATAAAAGAACATTTCGATCTTCCTCTTCTAAATTACGACATATCATAGCCAACACTTCTCGACGGACATTCACGGGGAGTAAAAGCAAAAAAGCATCCAAGTGACAATAGAGCATACAAGTGACAACCCATATTTTAAAACAAGGACAAACAAAATTACACCAACATTTAGATCATCGCCGACTTTCAAATTAATAGAATGAATGTCATTTAATGTCCTTGACCTCACATATTCTTGACGTAGTTCCTCGTTGCCATCTTTTCGTAAATCGTCAACCGAAATTTATTGAGAGGAAGATGGGCAATTTCTACGTCTACACTTCGACATATTTTCGGCTTTTCCAAGTCAGAAATGGGAAATATGTATTATTATCAGCGATTATTATGCAATGTTGGTGCAATCTCGATCGTGATTGGCTGACGTAATTCTTTATGTGAAAATTGTAAACAAAAAAGCTTTTGCTTTAAAGTTTATACCTCGCGATGTATCGCGCTTTGCAAATCGCGACATGTTAATTTGCACCATAGAAAGTAAACTCTTTTTAATCTTAATACTTCCTCAATAGTTCGTGGTAAAATTTGTAATAGCATCATAAACTTGAGCACATTATATTTTGCAATTCTCCATAGTCTGAAGGGTTCATTCCAAATGTAAAGTATAGTAAGGTAAAATTGGACAGATTGTAGTCCTCAGCCTCAATGTACGTTAATATATTTCGCAAACACCAAGATAAGACACATGTAGCCAATGTTGCGACCGCTCAGCGTATTTAACGGAATAAATTTCGGTAAATATTTATTAAACATTGCCAGTATCGAAAGCAATTATTGTCATCAATGTAGAAACACAGACAACACCCGTATTTGTACTTCTCCTGGCTGTGGTTATACTGCCAACCCAGATTATGAAGGCCTATGTTCTGTTTGTTTCATCAAATTACATGCATTATTTCAAGAGGGGTCAGTTATGGTAGCCCTATGATGCAAGAATCAACATCGAATGCGGAAGCAGTCAAGACAAGATGTCTCATTGAAGACTGTCAATTCTTCGGCATCCCAGAGAATGATAACTTGTGTTCACAATGTTATGCAAAGGCATTGCAACTTGATTATGACTTAGAGTCTGAGAAGAAGATCAAAATTGAAGAAGAAAGAGCTAGAAAGAAATGGCAAATAGCACAACAGCAAAAGAATGCAAATCATGACTTGCACAGGCTTTATTATGTAAATGAACCCCACTATTATCAGGTAAATATTTGTTGTTGAATTAACTAAACAAAGAAATTTCTCACACAATCTCTAGAAATCAATAAATTGTACTCATTTTCGCTAAAAATCTTTTATCACATTTGCAACCTCATTTATAGAATAGTTGTTTATATTTTAGATAATTGTTGAGAGACAATTATCTAAAATATAAACAACTATTCTATAAATGAGGTTGCAAATGTGATATATATACTGGTGAGACCATCGTCACCAGTATATAGGCGACCATTTAAACTAATACCATGTGTAACTAAAGGTTGTGGATGTTTTGGTACAGAAGAAGATCAGGGTCTTTGTCATAAATGTTTAAAGAAGAAAGAAATGCTTTTCTTAGAATAGACAGTTGGTGTGAACAGTTTTCAACAAATTTTGTTTCAATGAACAAGAAATATTGTCATTCTATAAGGCTTAAATCCTCATATCTAAAGAACTGTATTGATATTAGTAATAAAGTAATATATTCGCTTCCTTATATATGTAGATATGCACTTCGTACGTGTGGCTATAGCCTCATAATAACGACGTCTTTTCTCGTTTATAAAATTTCTGCACTTAACTGATAATTTATTCTTCGAATATAACGTTAAAAGCGATACAAATACTCAATTTATGATAATGCTCCATAATCAAGGGTGCTGGATCATTTTCGTGAATTAAACAATGATAGACAACGCTGGTTCCAGACTTCTACGGTAGAAGAGAAGTAACTTCAGTTAGTGTGACTCACTTAAACTTAGCATACCTTTTCATAAGACAATTTTGTTCTTCTGTACGACGCAAATAAACAAAAAATCACAGACGTAAGTTTGTCAAAGGTGTACTACCTTTGTACTTTTAAGTGTCCATTACAGTTGTCTAGCTGTCACAAATGTTCTTATGCGTAAAAACATATGTGACAGCCCTTACAAAAATATTTATAGAGCACTACATTGAAGCAATGTATTGGATATTCAATAGAATATTCTACAGTATACGACCACGAGCTATTGAATTACAAAATCTTTGTAATATCAATAAAGGGTTCATTCCTAGTTGACAAAGATCTTAGTATTTTCACTGAATGTACGTTCAAATACACACATCTCAACATCATCTCATCATCTCAACATCATCTCAAATCATCTCAACATCGATGACTACACAGCTAATATAAAGGCGGATCTCCACTAGACGATTTTAGAGACGATTTTATGCACGATCGTCAAAAAATTTCGCGACGATTCTTTTAGCAATGGAAATGCATGAATAGGAATAGGCGGTTTTTTTAAAAACATGGCGGCCATACATAATCACTACCTATTATATTTACTCCTGAGAAGAAGATCTTTGCTGCTGCACTCATATCGTAGAAAACAAAAAGTTAAGAGAAAGCGTGCTAGGTTTTGGGTTCGTAAACTTTACGAGGAACGGCGACAGAAGGGCGAATACGAATTACTCGTACGAGATTTACAACTCTATGACCATGAAATGTTCTTCAGCTACTTCGGAATGCTTCCAAGCACTTTTGAAGTGCTGCTTAAACTTATTGGTTCTGATATAAAGAAAAATATCACCAAAATGAGGAAACCTATTGGCCCATCTGAGAGGCTGTGTGTTACACTTCGATATTTGGTTACCGGTGATGCACATTCAACAATTGCGGCAAATTACAGAATAAGTCCTACAACTGTGGGTAGGATAGTAAAAGAAACCTCTCATGCAATCTGGAACAATTTGGTGAGGTTAGGTTATCTAAAAGTCCCATCTAACAAAACTGCTTGGGAGAAAGTTGCTTATGAGTTTGAAAATCATTGGAATTTCCCAAATGCAATTGGAGCAATAGATGGAAAGCATGTTCAAATGTTTGCTCCTGCTGGAGCTGGATCTTCTTTCTTTAATTATAAGAAGACGCACAGCATTGTATTACTAGGAGTTTGTGATGCTAATTATAAATTTATTTTAGTTGACATTGGAGATAGTGGCAGACAAAGTGATGGTAGTGTCTATGCAAACAGTAATTTAGGACATGCCATAGAGAATAAACTCCTTAATATACCAGGAGATAGGAGAATAACAAACTCTTCGAAAGTGTTGCCATTTGTCTTTATTGGAGATGATGCATTTGGTTTGAAGCGGCATATGATGAAGCCATATCCTTTTTCCAACTTATGTAAGCAGAAGCTTGTTTTTAACTATAGATTGAGTCGAGCTAGAAGAGTAATAGAAAATACCTTTGGTATATGTGCCAGCCGATTTAGAGTATTTTACAAACCCATTGTTGCAAAAGTGCAAAATGTTATTGCCATTACAAAAGCTGTAGTTGCATTGCACAATTTTTTGATGAAAATAAATGATGATGATGATTTGCACTGATGATTTGCACAAAGCACTATTGTCCTCCAACATTTCCTGATCAAGATGGTCCAAGTGGAGTAAAACCTGGTAATTGGAGACATCATGAAAATGATATAAATGGGTTGAAAGAAATCAGATGTATGGGTGACTCAAATAATTATGGAGCAGATGCCAAGTGTGTTCGAGAACAATTTGCTGAATATTTCAGTAATGAAGGTGCAGTTGACTGGCAATGGGGTGTTATAAGAAGGTCAAAGTAAACATTGTTTGGTATGTTTGGAAAAATAAAAAAAATTGTGGGCAATCTGGTCAGTGAAATTCATTTGAATCAAAATGTAAATATGATGCAAAAGAGTATCATTATTAATGAACTAGTTATCAAGAAAATTGATAATGTTTTAAGCAGGCTTGCTATTTTATGTTTTTCAATAATATTCTATAAATTACTGAACAGGTTTTCTTAGATTGACTTTATGTAGAAAAAAATAATATCATTCAAATTCTAATTCATATAACAATTGCTGAATTTTTAATTTGGCTAATCTTAATTTTTTCTTGTCCATATCTCTAAGGACAGGCACTAAACTGTCACAAAACAAGGCTGCTTCATCTTTTTCATGATCTTTGTCCTTCATTTTGTCAATAAAACTAAGCATTTTTTCATCAGTATTCTTTATATGGTCCAGTAGAGGATCCTGTTCTTCGTTTTTACTCCTCTTTCTTTTAACACTCTTTCTGACACTGTCGTCAGAAATAACAGTGCTTGAGCAGCTTGATGGTGCTGGTGAGGGAATTGGTAAAGGAGAATGTATTGGAACAGGAGACGACATGGTTGCATGAGTTTCTTCTTGAGATGCAATGATTTCTGAATCCAAATTTAACAACTCGATGTTGCTGTGAGTTTCAAGATTGCTGGTTTTATCATGCAAAAACCTCATGATTTCAAAATATTTACAAGTTGGGAGGGTTGATGCTGCTGCTCCAGATCTTGACATTGCTTTTCTTTTATCAAGACATTTCTTTAGAGAATCCTTTAAATTCTTGAATATCTTTTGGAGGTAATGAACTAAATGTGAAAAAAATTGCTTTCAAAAATATCCATAAAAGCAAAATAAAATCATCCATAAAAAAGTGATATTAAGCAACTTGCCATATCGCACACCATGTAGCCTACACAAAGATTTCCTGCATGAACTTTCAACTTTGTAATATATTTTATAGTAAATAGTGTTATTATGGCATATGCGAGAGTAGAATATGCCAGACTGGAAAGTATGTCTTGCGCAACCTAGATCTAGCTTGCGCAATTTCGGGAGAAATGCGCGTCCTGACGCGCAGATTTTAAAAAATTTCTTGTTCGCCGCGCATTTGTGAAATTTGCCGCGCAGCGCGAGAAATTATTGCGCAATATCAGCACATGTGGGCTACAGCGCTGTTGTTTCCGTTGAAAAAAATTGTTGCCTGTTGAATATCAATCTTACAAGCTGTTTTGACAGGCAAGTTCCGTTAATTGGTTAGTAAGCCAATAAGCGTTTGATGACTAGAAATATGATATCTGAGCAGATTAACTACACATTCTTTGCTTTCGTTTTTCGAGCTTTCTCTTTTTAAGTGACTTCAAGGCAAACCATATCGATTCTTCGGTGTATTCTACGGTGATACGTGATATTTAATTAAACCAACTTGGGGTGTTCAAATTTGTAAGGTGAGTACACGTAATGGTTTAGTAAAATCAAAAGTACTGATACAAAATTACAAATGATAAAAATTCTGAAAGCATTAACGCTTATAACACTAAACGCCAGGGGAAACAAGTTATTATTTAACAGTTATGTTTTTTGTGTAACCTAAAAGTAGTGGTACGAAAGGATTTCTTTTATTACAAACTACAAAACATGTTTTAATATATTTAAGGCAAATAAAATTCACAATCCTTACATAAAACATATTGATAAATGAAGCAATTTATAATTAAAACCGGTTTGCTAACGAACTAACAGGGCTTAGCTCGCTATTGTTTGGTGATAAAGCGAGATTTTTTGACAAACTTTTTTATCTAATTGTTTATTTATTTTTACTAGATGGCTGAGATTCAAGCAGTTAAATCAGGTAAATTCACGCGTTACAATAGCCGAAAATTTTCCTAACAACAATATACACAATATATATCAGCCATTGGTTGATTGCAGGAGCTGATTCGGTGATTCCTCGACAATATTCACTTCTCACTAAGAGTACCAAACCAACATTTGTGTGTTGCTAAAACTAGTGCTGCTTGCCTTTGATACCAAAAACGTTCATTACATTATCTTAACTTATGTTTTCATTGTTGTTGCCTAATTACTAGTTTGCGTTTCATGCAAGAAGGAATGTGGAAGCCATTTTTGCAAAGTTTGCAAAAAAACGTGCCACGCAATTCCGCCTTGCTCAACATCAGCAGGTGATGATGAAGGTTTTGGTGCCCAGGTCTTGTGTAGTGGCTGCAAAAACTGAGACAGCAGCAGTGGCTAAAAATAAGCAGCAAACACTGTCTAAGGAAGGTAACAGAACAATTATCTAGTGTTAGAATGTTAGTCGTGTAAGAGTGATCGTGTTTGCGTCACAAAGAAAAGTGGCATGACATTGTCAGTGGGTTTTATAAAACAATAGTAAACAACCAAGATTGGCTATCGACACATTTGTAACCATAAAATTGTGTGTTATAGAGTTTCAGTTTGCCAACATGTTTAAAAGACATAGCAAGCAGCAGAAAACAGGACCAGAAGCAAAGCGAGCAAAGAGTGGACACGAGAAAACCCCAATGGGCTTTTGCTTACTTTGTTTTAGGCAAGGCAAACGCAAATTTTGGCTTGCTAGAGGGAACAAGTCCTCTCTAGCAAACCATTTAAAAACTCACAGCGACAAGGGCGAAAAGACCTTAGCAAATGACGCTATTAGAGAAGATTCCCCTCTTGCTAAATCTGCGCTACAGGCGTACAAAATGCTTAAATCGGCTAGGTAAATGAAAATCAAGTTCCCAATTCCCAAATTGAGAACTGCACTTACATTGTGTATGTTTTCTATGTTAATTGTATTTTCAGTACAAGCCAAGTGCAACAAAAGTGTGGTGGCGACGGAATGGGAGAACGGATAGAAATTATGGAAGTCGATGAAAGGTAGCTAAATTGCTCATTCCCTGCGTGAACCATAAAATAACCGAATATCACAAACTGCATACATGTTATATAATACATTTCTTTTACATATACAGTGATAGCTTTTTAAAATTATGAATATTAAATTGTTTCAGAGAGCTTGGTAAGGATACGGCTGGACATGCAACTGACGAACTTTCGTGCAAAATCGTTTCTGGTGTCAGTGAATCTGAAAGTTGGGAGGAAACCGATGAAAAGATGAGAGGTTTGTTAGTGAAATACGGCATTTTTCTTGCATTATAGTATCAGATTTTACGACATTTTGTCACGATATTTTGTGAAATTTATGCCATAGTGGTTGAAAGTGTTGACTTTTAGTTCAAGGCTTCCAATAATTCACTTGTTCGGATAAGTAATTTCTACATTACAAATTTCTTAAGTCGTTTAATATTAACGATGAAATCATTAAGTATTTCAACGTCTTCTGTTGAATTTCTTAGTACATATACTTTTCACACAGTTTGCAAGAAAATTTTAATGTTGGCTTTTAACACTTTCATTGTTACAGCGAAGAGATTGTGAGAGTTAATGCAGTAAGTAAGACGAGTAAGGCTGCCTCTATTTCAAACACCAGCCGTCTTAGCTATCAAAGCTCGCTTGGAAGTTTTCTTCCTTCAATTTTATCAAGTGAGCAAGGCGACCTGCCATTTGATGTGGACGAACTTGCGGAAAAAATTGCTACTAAGGTGGCACAAAAGTTGAGTGGTAACCCTAAATCAGCCCAATCAACAAGTTCAACAACTACATACAATCCCACATCGAGTACCGCACTTCGATCTTCCAATTTGATTGAGCTTGTGGATGAAGTGGAAGATTTTGAAATACTAAAAGAAGAGAACAGCTGGGTGCTGCAGTGTCGAACGTGTGTCGAATTTTTAAACTCTTCCCGTGTTTCCTTTTCGTCATCTTTTAATCGACCTACTGGCAAAGCAGACGGATCTTTGGCATCTGGTTTACATATGTCAGATGCCTTGTATGAACAGCTAATTGCAGGCAAGTGTGAAAATGGTACAGCCAAAAGCAAGCGTGTCATCGACATCTTCTTTCTTTGACCCACAAAACGCTGATGACCACATGAAGATGGTAAAGCAAGGGAGGTCAAGGGAAGTACTTGTTGCAAAGAATCAACTCCGTGCAGCTCTTGGTGTTGTGAAAACAAAGTCAGCTGCAGTTCATTATGAAGCACGAATTGCTGAGCTTCAAGCTGCTGGTGCGGATGTTGGTGATTTTTGTCATTCTCGAAAATTGTTTCCAGACATGATCAAAGCAGCATGTGCTTACATCGACATGAGAGCAGCCAATTTTCTTTCTACCCTCTTCCAAACACAGGAATGCCCCACATTTTTATGTTACAGCTGATAAATCTACCAATCATCGCATCACTAATCAGGTTACTATCGTTTGTCCAGTTGTAAATGGTAGTCGCCGAGGCATTGTCCTTGACGCAAGGGAGGTTTACAGTAACTCTGATGCAACTGGTGGTACAGGTGATGCTCTAGCTGCATCCATTTTTAAAGATCTTGACGTGCATGTTGGTATTAAGGATAATCGGCTACTGCAAGTGCAAGGGCGAGTGATGGATGGACAATACGTCAACGAGCCGTTCATTGCAGGCATGAACGAGCCTGTATTTGAACTTTTGCATGATGATCTGTCCTGCAAAGAAAGATTCTGGTGGCCTGTCCAATGGGACCCTGCCCATTGGTTAGATAAAGTATTTAGTCAGCTCAAGGACTCGCCTTTCGTTGATCGTTTGCTGAGAAGGATTGCACTTTATCATCAACTTTTTAGTCGTGGTAAAATGCACAGCGTAGCGCGTCATACTGCTAAGGACTTGAATCTTCCGTTTCGAGTAACCAACGCATTTGCACATCAGCGGTTTTTGAGCTCCAGCTATCTATCTTTAAAGAATCTTGCAGATAGTTTGGAAGTGTACATCGAGACTTTCAAGGACCACGACAATAGAGAAGAGATGGGTTACAAGTTATGTGGTCAAGACTTTGTCCATGATTTGCTTGGTGTACTCGATTTGTTGTGGCCCTTGGTCGTCCTGATGCTGCAAGCGCAGGCTGAGTGGTATCCTGGTTGGAAGTTGTGCTCTCATGTTCCTTTGGTAAAACGACAGATGCAACGTTACATCGAGGAAGTATCTAAAATTGATCCTGATGACTTTGTTTGCCCAAGATTAAGCCAGCGAGTTCATGAAATTCGAGATTACCGCTTTGGGCAAAGTGAGTTGGAAACTGGTTGGTTTGTCGTTAGAGAAGGCGACGGTAAAGTGCCAGTGGATTGGGTAGCAAGAGAAATGCAGGACAGTGTTCATGATCTAGAGAAGCTGGCTGCGGATGTCATTAGTCAGATTGATGTTCGCTACACCAATAGCTTTTCCGACCTCAACAGAATGCTATCAAAGTGTTTTGACTTTGGACGACTTTTTCGTGGTTTATGCGGTTTTCGTTCGGAAGAAAAAAGTCCAGTAAACAACAGGGAGTTTTCTGAACTTGGAGCTAATGAGTTTAGACGATGTGTAAACTTTTCCTCACAGATGCCACATGTTTCTGAAAAGAATTTTGAGCTTTGTAGCGAGCTATCATCCACAGTGTTTTGGCGTCTAAAGAAAACACTCATTGCCGTTGTTTGGGGTGATATGCTACACACTCACTTCCCTAATTTTTTCAAGAAGATCTCTCTCGATGACGAAGGAATTTTTTCCTTGCAGGATGTGGTTTTCGAGGAAGGAGTCTTTGTGACTAGGTTCCAAGAAGGTACACCAAGGCAGTTCACCCTTTCTGAGGTCTTCGAAGTGACGCTCAACAATGGTAAAATGATTGACGTTCTTTTTAAAGAAGAGGCCGTTATTGAATCTTTATATAACGATTCCTCATTTTATTCAGCTGTCGGCCAAGAGTTTTGTCTCGTCTTTGACATATTTTATGCGAAATGCGGAACTGAGGCTGTTGCCGAATCTTTTTACCGGGTGGTGGATAAGCAAGAAATGGATGGTGGGCAAAGCATAAAAGTGCTAATGAATCGTGCTAAAGTTGATTGGAGTTTACCATCTGTACTTCAATGCGACGCAGCACTGAACGAAATGGCAAAACTTTACATCAATGGGGACAAGGAACGTGGTTTGTCCCGACATATGATTCCTGTTTTTAGAGACCGACGAGCATGGCAAAAACACGAAGGAGAGATGTCCAAGGTTTTGCTGATTATAAACAATAATTAACTGAAAAATCTTTTTCGTCTAACACCTGGCTGCTGATGATAAACAATTATTAACTGAAAAACCATTTTTGTCCACCATCTGCCTGCTGATTATAAACAATTAATTGAAAAACCTTTTTTGTCCACCATCTGGCTGCAGATTATAAATATTTATCAACTGAAAACCTCCCTTGCTTACCATCTACCTGCTGATTATAAACAATTATTAACTGAAAACCTTTTTGTCCACCACCTGGCTGCAGATTATAAACATTTATTAACTGAAAACCTCCCTGCTTACCATCTGCCTGCTGATTATAAACAATTATTAACTGAAAACCTTTTGTCCACCATCTGGCTGCTGATTATAAACAATTATTAACTGAAAACCTTCTACTCCACCATCTGGCTGCTGATTATAAACAATTATTAACTGAAAACCTTTTTTGTCCACCATCTGCCTGCTGATTATAAACAATTATTAACTGAAAACCTTTTACTCTACCATCTGGCTGCTGATTATAAACAATTAGTAACTGAAAACCTTTTTGTCCACCATCTGCCTGCTGATTATAAACAATTATTAACTGAAAACCTTCTACTCCACAATCTGGCTGCTGATTATAAACAATTATTAACTGAAAACCTTTTTGTCCACCATCTGCCTGCTGATTATAAACAATTATTAACTGAAAACCTTCTACTCCACAATCTGGCTGCTGATTATAAACAATTATTAACTGAAAACCTTTTTGTCCACCATCTGCCTGCTGATAATAAACAATTATTAACTGAAAACCTTCTACTCCACAATCTGGCTGCTGATTATAAACAATTATTAACTGAAAACCTTTTTGTCCACCATCTGCCTGCTGATTATAAACAATTATTAACTGAAAAACCTTCTACTCCACAATCTGGCTGCGGATTATACAAAAGATGGTTCCTGATTGATTTTTTTTTTGACGACGTATTTGACGACGTCAGTAAATCAAATTTATTTGGTGCCTACCTTTTATCGTATCATACGCTGTGATGAAACGATGAAACAGATGAATGATAAACATACGTGGTACGTTGGTCGTTCGACTCGTTACATAATACCTAAGGTAAAGTGGCATTTTTGTGATTACACATGACACATCCTCACGTTGTAAAGGAGAGTTGCAAGCTCCAACTTAAGGTAAGCTACAGCTATACACATGTATCATCTTTTATGTTATGTTTCATAATTATTTGCAATTGCAAACTATCAAAAATGGAGTGTGATACGGAAAAAATAAAACTGGCATCTCGCGAATATTTATGGCTTCGCAGCGAAAAGTCAAAAATCCGCCGCGCAAAATTTCTAAAAAAAATTGATCTAGCTTGCGCAGTTTGCATACTTTCCAGTCTGGAAAGAAAACAACCCGCTACGACCAATTGTATCTCTTCCTGGATCTCCCACGTATGAACTTTCAAAATATCTTTATAACATTCTGTATCCATTAGTCAAAAAATTCACCTCACACCATCCGAAATGCCACCACTTTCCTTGCCAGTATTGAAAACATTAAAGTACGACCAAACGAAATCATGATATCCTACGACGTGACATCACTCTTCACATCCATACCACTGGACATTGCCAAACAAATTACAAACGAACTACTCACAAACGACAAAACTTGGCAAGCTACAACACAACTAGACAAAAATGACATCCTAGACTTACTCAACCTTTGCCTCGCCGCTGAATTCACCTTCCAAAACACATACTACAGACAAATTTCAGGCACACCAATGGGATCACCACTATCCACCTTCCTCGCAGAAGCTGTCATGCAACACCTCGAAACACAATCAGTCACAAACAACACAAACATCAAACTATGGAAAAGATATGTCGACGACATCTTTGCCATAGTCAAGAAAGACAAAGCTGAACAAATCCTACACACCATAAACAATACCACAAAGAACATTGCCTTTACTAAAGACGAAGAACACGACAAACAACTTACCTTCCTCGACATCCTACTAACGAGAACAGATGACGGTACACTAAACACACAAGTATACCGCAAAAACACACACACAGACCAAATACTCAACTTTAATAGCAATCACCCAACACAACACAAAATTAGTTGCATACGAACTCTCTTTAACAGGATTAAAACACACTGCAATACAGAAGAAGCCAAGAAGAATGAACGCAACTACTTATACTCTACATTCATAAACAACAATTACCCACGAAACTTTATCAACAAAGTATTAAACAAAATACACAACAAACCACAAACTGAAAACCTAACGAAGATACAGACGAACCAGTAAAAATAGTGACATTACCATATATAAACGGAACATCAGAAATGACATCAAGACTACTCCGACCATTCAAAATAAACATCGCACATAAACCAACACACAAACTCAAATCATACTTCACTAAACATAAAGACCGAACAACGACATTCGACGCAACCAACGCGGTCTACATGATACCATGTAAAGATTGCCCCAAACAGTACATTGGACAAACGTCCAAGAAAATTGAAACAAGACTCACTGAACACAAGAATGCCATCAAACGACGCGACCCAAAATCACTACCAGCAGAACATACCCACGATACCAACCACACATTTGACTGGACAAAACACAACTTCTTGGACACAGACAAAACACGCACGAGAATTCAAAGAGGCATGGTACAGCAAAGACAACAACACAATTAACAGACATATTGACATCCCCATCATCTATTCACAACTAAAGACAAAACCAAAACAACAAACTAATAACACAACGACTAAAATAAAACACTCGAATTTCATTAACGTAATCGATACACCTGAAACCATGACAACGCATCTTATACCATCCAATAATATCAACTCAACTACTAACCAACCAATCAGACGCTCCAAACGCCTACAAAATCTTTGTAAATAATATATTGTCACATTCTGACGAAGGCTCGAAGCACCGAGTTGAAAGCTTAATAAAAAATTTAAAACAAATTCAGAGAATCCTTATCATTATCATATATATATATATATATATATAGTTGTAAACCCTCATCCATAAACATCTTTTTCTATCTCACATGTTTTAGGTACCACAGCAACCAAACTCAGTTGACTGTGGAGTTTATGTCATGAAATTTGCAGAGATGTTAATTAAGGTAACTCCATGCAGACCATGCACAGTTAATAATCTAAGACTTATCTTAGTTATTTGAACAATGACATACCCAACTACCTGTAGCTTTATTAATCATGTTTGTTGTTTTATATATGGCAAAACTCTACTAATTATCTTAACACATTTTACTTTCTATTCACCATTTTCTAGGAACCATTGACTGGAGAGATGTTGATGAAAATTCCTGATTTTCGCCAATCATTCGATCATGCCGAGATATCAGCCATGCGAGAACGAGTCAAATCACTTTTGTCAACATTATAATTCTTGTATTTCGAACGATTTCTGAGCAAATCCTCTGTCGATAATTACTAATTTATCGCTAAATATACATGTTTATTTAAAAAAAGATATAAAAGTTATCTAAACAGTGTATTTTAAAATTAAGATACATTGTAAACACAGTGTATTTAAAAATTAAGATACATTGTTTAGTACGGTGGCTCACAAGGGCCACCACACAAAATAAAAATATTAATACACACACAAAATAAAAATACACACACAAAATACATTATACACACACAAAATAAAAATACACACGCAAAATACATTATACACACACAAAATACATTATACACACACCAAATAAAAATACACACACAAAATAAAAATACATACACAAAATACATTATACACACACAAAATAAAAATACATACACAAAATACATTATACACACACAAAATAAAAATACACACACAAAATAAAAATACACATACAAAATAAAAATACACACACAAAATATGATTGCGGGCGCTTGCAGTGTCGGCTACTCGGAATTGCTCGTAATTGATCGTTTTTGTTTTCAAAGTTCTAATGGTTCCAACTTCCACATTACATAATAAAATTCATTGATTTCACTGTGATCAATTATTTCAAAGTTGCTTACGATATTGCTCCCCGTATTCTGGTTAAAATTAAGGTTAATGTGTTGTCCTAGTTGCGGCAACAATTCCGGCTCAGTCTCGGAATCAAACACGTACTGTGATGATTGTTTATCAGAGCAAAACATTACACGCTTGATAACAGGTTATTTCAATCATGGTTATCCGTATGGGGCAATCGTCAGACTTTTGCAAACCTCCGTTATTCTGATGTCTATACGGACGTTGTAGCGCCGCTTCAGATCTTTGGGCTTAAGACGAAAAGGACAAGTCGTTGATGAACAAAATTTAAGAAATGTTATAGAGTATATAAAAGCCTAGGAGCAAACGCTTGCTGGCACCTGGACGGTAAGATTACATAAATGTAGTTTCTATGAACCTAGAAGTAACAAATACCTCCGACAAGAACTTGCACTTATGCATTGGAGGGATTATCTGCAAGATTGCGAAGGTAATGTAAGGTAGTTCATTGACTATATTTCTAGTTTAGAGTATTTACAAAATCCTGTAGTACTAAGATGTTAAGTTAGAACTTGTAAGTATGCATTATTATTTCTGCAGTTGAAAAATTAAACACTGCTAGTTGCTACATCAACATGTATATTGCTCTCTGTTTAGCTGGACGATGTGGTGCTACTTTGGGAGATGTACTAATCTTTGCAACAGGAAGTGATGACATCCCACCTCTTGGCTTTACACCAATGCCTTCACTATGCTTTTGGGAAGATGTTCGTCCAAGATCAAACACATGTGATACCACACTTTATCTCCATCTATTCCCTGGTTGTTCAAAGGATGAAATGCAATATGATACTTTTAAAGAAAAAATGGATGATGGAATTTTAAATTCTCCTTCTTTTGGGATTCCATAAAGTTTTTTAGCAGTTTTTTATAACAAGTATATATTCAATTAGTTCAAAGTTCTTATAACGTGTTTATAACACTAAATTTTAAGTTTAGTGGCAGAATGCTACATTTTAGCATAATGGTATTCAACAATTTACAACAAATCATGTTTCATAATATAGTTTTATTTGCTTTGCAATTGGTTGCAAAAACCTTTTTGCAACAGTATATTTCTATTTCATCTTTGTGGCATGGGTATCATTATGCCAAATACTTCTTACATGGTAACTTTTCATGTTTGTAGATGTAGATTGTCCAGGTTAGTAGAGTCCTGAGAAGGACTATTGTTGTTGATGTTGACTGAGGTTTCGATTTGACTCTGAAGATGCTTATTGCTAAGGTTGTTGAAATGTCAGTCAACATCAACAATAACAGTCCTTCTCAGGAACAGTCCTTCTACTAACCTGGGTGATCTATATCTACAAACATGTAACGATACTCCTGGGTTCAAACCATTTACTTTATTTAACTTTTATTATGTTGTGTGATAATCTATATAATTAACACTAACTTCATTGTGGTATATTAATTAAATGTTGAAAAATTTCAAATCCTTCATTTATGTCTTCAGGATATGCCAAATTTTTGTTTTCCAAGACATAAAATATTCTTTGTAAATGTCCTCACAAATGCATGGGTCAATTCTCTCTTTCATTTCACTCAGCTTATCAGCAGAAATCTCTATTAGGCAGTTTTCACCCCCATAGTAATCTGGCAGAAAGAGCAAAATGTCTGGAACTCGTGATACGGTTTCATGTTGCGACCTACAAATGTAGTGGCTATTTCAGTGATCTTTTACTTTTGTTAAATCTTTTTGAAATAACATGTTAAAACAAAACCACAGTGCCTCCATGAGGTAGGTATTACCCAACTCTAACAAACCTTTTTGTGCCATATCTTGGAAAAAGTCAATCCACCAGCCTGACCTAGTTCGTCTCAGGAAAGACCACCATGCTTCAATTCTTTGATTTGAAAGAGAGGATCCATAAACATGAGCTTTCTCCCCTGCCCATTCATCATCTCCATCAGCTCTCAGGTAGCATTGCATTGCAGACAATAAAACATTTTCTGTCCCACAATGTGCAGCCTCCAAACTCCTTAACAGCATTAAGAAATATTTCCGCAATTACATTTGGATTTTTGTTTGATCTGACAACCTCAAGCCACAGAATTCTTCTGCTGTAACCACAAACAGCACCATGTACTGCAAACCCATATGGCTTGAGTTTGCCATATCCTTAAAAAGGGAAGAGTTTGTTAGACATTTGCTCTCAATGTGCTACAAAAAAGCTAGGTTTGGGTAACTGTTCCCCATTATCTATAAGTTTGATTAAAAATTCATAGAAACTACATTAATGTAGTCTTACCGTCGAGGTGCCAGCAAGCGTTTGCTCCTAGGCTTTTATATACTCTATAACATTTCTTAAATTTTGTTCATCAACGACTTGTCCTTTTCGTCTTAAGTCCAAAGATCTGAAGCGGCGCTTCAACGTCCGTATAGACATCAGAATACCGGAGGTTTGCAAAAGTCTGACGATTGCCCCATACGGATAACCATGATTGAAATAACCTGTTATCAAGCGTGTAATGTTTTGCTCTGATAAACAATCATCACAGTACGTGTTTGATTCCGAGACTGAGCCGGAATTGTTGCCGCAACTAGGACAACACATTAACCTTAATTTTAACTAGAATACGGGGAGCAATATCGTAAGCAACTTTGAAATAATTGATCACAGTGAAATCAATGAATTTCATTATGTACTCTGGAAGTTGGAACCAATAGAACTTTGAAAACAAAAACGATCAATTACGAGCAATTCCGAGTAAGCCGACACTGCAAGCGCCCGCAATCATATTTTGTGTGTGTATTTTTATTTTGTATGTGTATTTTTATTTTGTGTGTGTATTTTTATTTTGTATGTGTATTTTTATTTTGTGTGTGTCTTTTTATTTTGTGTGTGTCTTTTTATTTTGTGTGTGTATAATGTATTTTGTGTGTGTATTTTTATTTTGTGTGTGTATTAATATTTTTATTTTATGTGGTGGCCCTTGTGAGCCACCGTAGTTTAGAGATTTGTTCACCCACTCATACTCATACACGCATATTCCACGAACAGCTGAAGTGTCATCGATCCATCTCTCCATATGATCTCTCAAAAGTAGTTTTCGTGTTATTACGCAATCGGCACAAGTGACGTCACGACAAGAACTAACTGCTGTACAAATAGTAAATCCTGCACGTACGGGACGCACGCAACAAACAGCTTTTGTAGACTTTGGTTACTCAAAAGCGCTAAACTATGGAAACTTTTATTTTTTGCACACTTATTTTCCTTTTTGGTTGTCTGCTGAAAAAAATCGGCCTAATTCTTACTGAAGATGTCACTTATCGACAACGCTGGGAGTTGGAAGTCGAAAGCCAGATGGAAGATCACAATTCTGGTACACCGATGGATCTTGGTATAGAGCAATGGAGCGAAGACTGGAAAAAAACAGTCGCTCTTCTAACAACACCAAGTTTTTACTGCCTTGAGGGGATTCATATATTTGCCTTAGCTAACCTTTTTCGAAGACCCATTCTGGTGATATGTCACGATTCTCATCATGGTGACTGTGATGTCCAAATTGCTGGTGTAAACCTTGGTGGCATATACTTACCCTTGCTGTCAGACTCCGTGGATTGTATCAAAACTCCTCTTTTGATTCGCTATGATCATGGACACTTTACAGCACTTGTGATGGCAGAAAATAATGAAGGAGTACCATTAATGAAACATGATGGTCAGCCTATGAAAGTCCGTTGTTTGTTACCTGAGGAAAGGAATTTCTCAGATCGATTATTGCGGGAATACTTGAACTGTTTAAAGTTGAATTACATCGACGAAAATGGGTGTATAATGGAAATGCTTGTTGCGAAAACGCGTCTGTGATACTTGTAGCTAAAATGTAAGCCTCTGATACTTGTGGCTAAAATACCTTGTGGAAAGCCTTGCATGGAGGCTGTTCTAACGATATAAAATATACAAGACATTCAAAAATAAATTTCAACTGCCTTTGTATACTCTTAAGATTTTCAAATACACAATAATTCTGTACGTTGAGAAAGTTACAATAATGCAACGCGTTTGTTATTACATATACAAACCAGTTTGATAACAAATGGCTTAAAAAACCACACAAAAAACAAGTATTTACTGTGCTAAATTGCGGTCGTTTACATGATGACTAAACGGAGAGAAGTGTAAACAAAATCATAGGAACTATAACATTGCAAGTGCCAAGCATTAAATTCTTTTCAAATACGTTTATGTCTTATTGAGAGTCGATTACAGCTGAATCATGCTAAAGTTAAACGTCGGCTGATTTCAATGGTTGTAGTTTCGATACACCTAAGATTGTTTACTTAAACTTTTACCTGCTTATCGTAGCTCTCAACATCATGGTTACACTTCATACAATTTGGAGCACAGAGGTTTAAATATATGCAACTTCCTATCGGTTGTGCTGGGAAGATTAAATTTAGAAGTGGACTTCCTCCTATAAATTACGACATATCATAGCCAACACTTCTCGACGGACATTCACGGGGAGTACAAGCAAAGAAGCATCCAAGTGACAATAGAGCATATAAGTGACAACCCATATTTTAAAACAAGAACAAACAGAATTACACAAACATTAAGATCATTGCCGACTTTCAAATTAATAGAATGAATGTCATTTAATGTCCTTGACCCCACATATTCTTGACGTAGTTCCTCGTTTTCATCTTTTCGTGAATCGTCAACCGAAATTTATTGAGAGGAAGATGGGCAATATCTACGTCTACACTTCGACATATTTTCGGCTTTTCCAAGTCAGAAATGGGAAATATGTATTATTATCAGCGATTATCGAGCAATGTTGGTGCAATCTCGATCGTGATTGGCTGACGTAATTCTTTATATGAAAATTGTAAACAAAAAAGCTTTTGCTTTATAGTTTATCCCTCGCGATGTATCGCGCTTTGCAAATCGCTACATGTTATTTTGCTCCCCAAAAAGTAATCTCTTTTCAATCTTGGTACTTCCTCAATAGTTCGTGGTAAATTTGTAATAGCATCATAAACTTGAGCACGTTATATTTTGCAACTCTCCACAGTCTAAAGGGTTCATTCCAAGTGTAAAGTATAGTATGGTAAAATTAGACAGATTGTAGTCCTCAGCCTCAATGTGTAGAATTCGACTAAGGGCTCAACCATTCTCTGCCAAGTTTCTGATACTTTGAGACGCGCATACTTTATCACGTACGGTTCAACTAAATAATTACAGTCAGTTAACTTACTTCACTATACTTTACACTTGGAATGAACCCTTCAGATTATGCAGAGTTGCAAAAAAATAACGTTCTCACGTTTATGATGATATTACAAATTTACCACGAACTATTGAATTACAAAGATTCTACTTTCTGGGGTGCAGTAAAATTATTTAAAAATTGTAGTTTTTGGTCTATTTCTATGGCTCTAATTAAAACTTTATGTTGGGCCTTAATTTTTATTACACGAATTCGATTTCCGCTCGGCAAGTCTCCGCCACTAAGTATTTACTGTACTAAATTGCATTCGTTTGCATGTTGACTAAATGGAAAAACGCGTAGAGATCGTATGAATTGTAACTACAGTACATTGAAAATGCAATCATTAAATCATTTCGTGTTATCGTTACAATTACGTTTATGTCTCATTGGAGGTTGATTACGGCTGAATCATGCAAAAGTTAAACGTCTGCTGATTTCAATGGGTTGCATTTTGCATGCACCCTGTAGATACAAAGGGTGAGTTTCAATATATTTCCATGCTTTCACGCAACATTTGTCAACCAAAATATACATTCTACAAGTTAAATGTTTAGTTTTAATGGTGGCAGCCTTGTATGAAACAAGTGAAGATTTGATCAGTCTACAAGTTAAATGTTTAGTTTTAATGGTAGCAGCCTTGTATGAAACAAGTGAAGATTTGATCAGTCTACAAGTTAAATGTTTAGTTTTAGTGGTACCAACCTTGTATGAAACAAGTGAAGATTTGATCAGTCAACAAGTTAAATGTTTAGTTTTAGTGGTACCAGCCTTGTATGAAACAAATGAAGATTTGATCATTCTACAAGTTAAATGTTTAGTTTTAATGGTGGCAGCCATGTATGAAACAAGTGAAGATTTGATCAGTCTACAAGTTAAATGTTTAGTTTTAGTGGTACCAGCCTTGTATGAAACAAATGAAGATTTGATCAGTCTACAAGTTAAATGTTTAGTTTTAGTGGTACCAGCCTTGTATGAAACAAGTGAAGATTTGATCAGTCTACAAGTTAAATGTTTAGTTTTAGTGGTACCAGCCTTGTATGAAACAAGTGAAGATTTGATCAGTTTACAAGTTAAGTGTTTAGTTTTAGTGGTACCAGCCTTGTTTGGAACAAGCGAAGATTTGATCAGTCTACAAGTTAAATGTTTAGTTTTAGTGGTACCAGCCTTGTATGAAACAAGTGAAGATTAGATCAGTCTACAAGTTAAATGTTTAGTTTTAGTGGTACCAGCCTTGTATGAAACAAGTGAAGATTAGATCAGTCTACAAGTTAAATGTTTAGTTTTAATGGTAGCAGCCTTGTATGAAACAAGTGAAGATTTGATCAGTCTACAAGTTAAATGTTTAGTTTTAGTGGTAGCAGCCTTGTATGAAAGAAGTGAAGATTTGATCAGTTTTGATTTGTTCGGCAGATAGGGGTAGGGGAATGTTTAGGTGGGGATTACGAGGGTAGAGGGAGGTTATGTTTCACATCTGAAATTGTGATTCAAATTTTCATCCTTAATTCGCAACCAGATTACACAACATTGAACAATGAAGAATGAATTAAAACATAAAACTAAATAAATGCAAATACCATTAAACCATGACCATTTATTATAGTGAAATGCGTGATAATTTACATTCAACGTTTTCCACCAACACGACCTGTACTTCTTCCACCTTTTTGTTTTGTTGGAGCTTTTGTCTTCACTGGTTGTTGTGCGACCTTGAATAAATGATGAGTGTTATTGAGATATCTTAGTAAGAATGGTTTACTTCATGTAAGAAGTAAATAAAAGATGTTTACTGTTTTTCACAAGTGAATGCAAACCAAGGAGAACTTGCAAGAAATTAAGACCAGATCATTGCAATCACAAGACCAAACGTCAAGGGTTGAACTTGCTTGGGAGTTCTCACAAATGTCTCTGAGGTTTGCATAAGCCAGTGCAAACATAAAAAAACATCTTTTATTTCTTTTCTAAAATAACAATAATGCAAACAGACAAATTTAAACAAAAGTTTTAATTCTTCCTCTAAATGTATTCATGATTGATTTGCAAATTCTCTTTGATTGATTGATTGATTTCATTGGTTGAGCTTTGAATGGTTTGCAAACACAGCTATAGACTAATCACTGCATACAGTGACAACAATTCATCAAATCATTGAAAACTTATGATAAATATTGAACTTCATGAAGAAATTTATGAATCGCTTGTGTGGGAATAAAATTCACAATATGTGTCATACAATTAGCCCACACACAAACAAACAGTCAAAGTTTTTAATAAATAGTAATTTCAATGTTTGAACATAAAATTTTTGTTCAAAGCAGTTTATCAACAGCAAATTGCACTGAGAAAATCAACCTAGTTTACTTTATAATAGTCGAGTAATTGTCAGATATTAAAGACACCAGACAGTTGTGTTTAATACCTTATTGCCTGCTCTCTTTGTGCTTTTCTTACTTCAGGCTTCTGATTGCATTTGGCCAAAATAGTTTCAAGAGTTGCACCCTGGATGGCTCGTTGGAATTTAAACATTTCGTCTCATTCTCCTTTTCGAGACCTTTTCAACTGAGCCCTTTTTGTGTTTTCTACAGTAAAGGACAGTCCATGAAATCTTTCGTGGATTTCTTCTCATCAAGAAGGATCTCTCAAATTTTTTGTCCAGGAAATTGAAAGACTATTAAATTGATGTATAAAACATTTATTGGTTATGGCACAATAATATAGATGTGATTTTACAATCAAGTTTTTAAAGTGTGTTTTAAAAATAACTTTATATCAACGAAGGGACAAATTAAGCAGTTCTTCTAAGTAGAACATTGTAAACGTAAGTACCTTTCCATGTAGACGTGTATATATTTTCCCATGACCTGGGTAGATTTTGTATCCACTGTAGCTTCGAACCTCGAGTCTGGAAATTTAAAGAAAACAACGAAATCATCAAATACTAGAAAGATCAAATGAGAAGTATAACATGTAATAATAGCAGTCTCTGGGTAAAGACTAATGAATATTTCCAAAACAATTAAAATCGACAAGTTTTAATCGCCGATTTTTAAAGAATCTGGGACGTAAAACCGCTAATATCGATTCAATTATGAAAAAAGTGTTTCAGTTTCACAAGAATTTCCTAAAATAACGAAAACGTTTTGCTGTTTCCTTGGATTGGAACGGATTTCAAAAGACTTACTTTAGAACACGGCTCTACTCTTCAACGTTACTAATTTAGTCACTGGCTTTATCTTGACTTCTGACATTGATGGTTGTTTTGTAAACTCTCTGAGCCATTCGTTTAAGGTCCTTTGAAAATTTTCAATTCTTTGTTGTTCAATTTGAAGGTATTTGTTTGAGTCTTGGTGATCATAATCATCTTCTATTGTAGCATGATGACGCTCGTGGGCGTTGTAAAATCTATTTACAACTTCGTTGAATTCTTGTGCTTTAATTGTTTGCTTCGCTCAAGTTTGGAAACTTCTATTTGATTTGGTTAACTCCTTCTTATTTTTTGTAACTGCGCCTTTTGCAGCAGATCGTTTTCTTCGTAGTTGTTCAGATGTTTCGAGAATTGAAGGTTCTTCTTCCCTGGTGAGAGCTGGGGTGGTTTGCTTTGTTTGTTCATTACTCATTACGCTCTTCGCTTCGTTGTTAGATTCAGCCATTCAAAAGATCGTTAATTAAAAACAGGGCCTCGTCGATATATCAGTTGATGAGGATAAATTCTTTGAACTTTTTGTAAAATTCGACTAAGGGCTCAATCATTCTCTGCCAAGTTTCTGATACTTTGAGACCCGCATACTTTATTACGTACGGTTCAACTAAATAATTACAAATAATTCTAACAAATGCAAAAAAAAGAAGGGATAAATTCATCTAACTACTTACAGAATTTACAGCGTTACTAGGCAGAGAAGTTCATTTGATCTTATTCAGACGACAGTTTGATGCCAAATGTCTGTCGTCTCCCATCTGACATCAGAACCGGAAACGTTTTGAATCCAACACAATGTATGTTAATATAATTCACAAACACCAAGATAAGACACATGTAGCCAATGTTGCGATCTCCCAGCGTATTTAACGGAATAAATTTCGGTAAATATTTATTAAACATTGCTAGTATCGATAGCAATCATTGTCATCAATGTAGAAACACAGGCAACACACGCATTTGTACTTCTCCTACCTGTGGTTACACTGCCAACCCAGATTATGAAGGCCTATGTTCTGTTTGTTTCGCTAAATTACATGCATTATTTCAAGAGGGTTCAGTTATGGTAGCCCTATCAGGCAAGAATCAACATCGAATGTGTAAGCAGTCAAGACAAGATGTCTGACTGAAGAATGTCAATTCTTCGGCATCCCAGAGAATGATAACTTTTGTTCACGATGTTACGCAAAGGCATTGCAACTTGAGTATGACTTAGAGTCTGAAAAGAAGATCAAAGCTGAACAAGAACGAGCTAGAAGGAACTGGCAAATAGCACAACAGCAAAAGAATACAAATCATGACTTGCACAGGCTTTATTATGTAAATGAATCCCAATATTATCAGGTCAATATTTGTTGTTGAATTAACTAAACAAAGAAATTTCTCACAAAATCTTTAGAAATCAATAAATTGTACTCATTTTCGTCAAAAATCTTTTATCACATTTGCAACCTCATGTATAGAAGAGTTGTTTATATTTTAGATAATTGTTGAGAGACAAAGTATTTCAACACCTTCGTCACCAGTATAAAGGCGACCATCAAAGTTAATACCATGTGTAACTAAAGGATGTGAATGTTTTGGTACAGAAGAAGATCAGGGTCTTTGTCATAAATGTTTAAAGAAGAAAGAAATGCTTTTCTTAGAATAGACAGTTGGTGTGAACAGTTTTCAACAACTTTTGTTTCAATGAACAAGAAATACTGTCATTCTATAAGGTTTAAATCCTTATATCTAAAGAGCTCTCTCGATATTAGTAATAAAGTAATATATTCGCTTCCTTATAGATGTAGATATGCACTTCGTACGTGTGGCTATAGCCTCATAATAACGACGTCTTTTCTCGTTTATCAAATTTCTGCAGCTAACTGATAAATTATTCGTCGTATATCCAGGGACGCCGGAACTGGGGGGGCAAGGGGGGCAAAAGTGCCCTACAGGTTGAAAGTTTATTGTTTTTAATCCAAGATAAAGACTACTTAACCGTTGTGGTATATTTCATTCTTTATAGCTTAGCAATAAAATTGTCGTAACTATGTTAGTTTTCCTTTAACATTTGGCTTTGGAAGCTATGGGCTTTGATGGGGCTTCAGCAATGAAATCCCTCGCAAGAAAGCTCAAGGAAGATATTGCACCAAACGCAATTTATGTTCATTGTTTCAGTCACTGCAATGAACTTATTATACAGGATGCAGCTAAGCAATCTAATTTATTGTCTACATCACTGGATTTATGCCAATCCCTGTATGCAATCGTAGGTGCCCATCCAAAACGTATTTTATTGTTCGAAGAAATACAGGCAGATTTTAGAAACGAAACAGGAACAAACGATTACAAAGTTCTACGACTCCAAATCTTTCTACAACGAGATGGACAACAAGAGTAAAGGCTGCTGACGTCATCTTCGAGAAATCGGCTGAACTACATGCAACCCTTGAAAAATTGCAGGAAGATACTAGCATTTCGGCAGACACAAAAGCAAGGATTAGAGGAATATTAAGGCGACAACTGTCTTCCTTAATCGTCATCTTTAATTTAAACGCGACAAGAAAGCTATTGGCTTTACTCGAGAAGCTTTCTAAAGAGCTCCAAGCGGTTGATATTTCAGCTGAGTACGCTCTATTTTCAATAAGACATGTCCTGCAACGTCTTCATGAGATGAGAAGCGAAGAAGAGTTTGAGCGTACACTTGATGACGCTAAGAAAGTTCTTCGTGTTATGATGTCGTTTCCACTAGAATTTAGTGAAAATTTTGGCACTGGCACTAGACTAAGAAAAGTTCCAAGATGGATGAATAATGAAGAAATGTTAATAACAGAAAGCCTTCACGTCACAGATGCCTCAGTTTACAACAGTGCGAATATAACACCAATGCGAAGCTCGTACTACCAAGCCATTGATGCAATCATCTCAGGTCTAGGATCGCGATTTGAACAAGACGATCTTTTCCAGATCAAATGTATCGAGAAACTGTTACTTAACTCTATGAAAGAAAGAGGAGTATCTTTAGATGGATTAAGCAATTCTTTGATTGATAAAGATGCTCTAAGAAAGCAGCTTGATGATCTTCCTACCATTCTTGGGCTTTACAACGCGGATCAGAAGAAAAATATAACAGAAGTCACGCATATTTCAACAATAGCAGAGATACTGAATGCCATGCCGTCAGCAAAGAAAAGGTGCTCAGAGATCCACAAACTAATTATACTATACTACACAGTGCCACTCTCATCTGCCTCGTGCGAACGCACATTCAGCGTAATGCGTCGTCTCAAAACATGGCTGCGGTCAAACACTGAAGGAAATCATCTGAATGATATTATGTTCTCTAACATTCAGAAGCAACACATGGATATGGTGGAAATAGACGTAATTGCCAAAGAGTTTTCACAGAGAAATGAAAGAAGAATTAAATATTTTGGAAAATACAATACATGACAAATTGTGAATTAGTGACGTTACATCGTTTGATAGTTATATTATCGTTAATATTAATCGACCAACACTGCAGACGTGTGCTTCTGTACAGTGTATTGCATGTAGCACATCTCTTTGCTGTTTATCAATATAAGATTATTTTTAGTATATTTCACTAATATGCCCTTCCACAAAGGCTTGCCCCTCCTACCCTTTTGCCGTTCCGGCGTCCCTGCGTATATCATGTTAAAAGCGATTACAAATACTTAATTTATGATAATGCTCCATAATCAAGGGTGCTAGTGCATTTTCGTGAATTAAACAATGATAGGCAAAGCTGGTTTCCTGAATTTTACGGTTCAAGAGAAGTAACTTCAGTTAGTAGTGATTCACTTAAATTTAGCATACCTTTTCATAAGACAATTTTGTTCATCTTTACGACGCAAATAAACAAAAAATCACAGACGTAAGTTTGTCAAAGGTGTACTACATTTGTACTTTTAAGCGTCCATTACAGTTGTCTAGCTGTCACAAATCTTCTTATGCGTAAAAACATATGTGACAGCCCTTACAAAAATATTTTATAGAGCACTACATTGAAGCAATGTATTGGATATTCAATGGAGTATTCTACAGTATATTCATGGCCCGAAGCACAATCGAACTTTGGAGCCCTTCGTGTTTCACGAATATTCGGACACATTACAGTTTTTCATTGCCCTCGATCTCTTTGTTTGGCTCTGCCTGTGTCGGAGGCAATTTGCCCCCTTCTCTGAACGTCCCTGTTTTTAATTATGTGTATAGGTAATACGAGAATTTAGGACGGTTTGCTGAACAGTAGCGATCGAAAATCTGTACTAATCTTCCATGGAATTTAAAATTTAACATATACTTTAGTTATTATAATATAATTTTGTTAGCCTTCTCGTTCATTGTATGATGTTTAGACTATAATGGCCTGCGTTATAAGTTGGCTTACACATTTCCAAGAACTTAACAAATGCAACAAATTTTTACATTACAACCACCTTTTCAGAAAAAAAACCCAGCCACCACAACACATTACTATCAACAGCAACCACTACAATATTAATGACCATCCAATCCATATTCACTATAAATGCAATTATGCAAACAGTTCTTTCAAATACACTTTAAATTGCAAATTTTAAAATATATTATACGATTTTCATAACAAGAACCCGAGTCGTTATGGAACTGCAAAGAAGTGTTTCTTCAATAGATGTTGCAACTTCGGAAATTATTCGTGACTCAATTGATGGGGATGTCACTATCCCGGCAGTTCAGGGAAATCATCGATTCTTATTGACATCATCGCGATACACTTTTTTGTTCCCGAATCTTTCTTGTTTCAATAGAGATTTTCAAGATTTTCTGTACGCAACCTTAGTAAGCATTGCTCTTGAAAATAAGTTGGAAAACAACAGCTCTCTCAACTGGTGTAAAATTCTACCTAAGTTTATTCCTATAAACACCTTGGGCGATGGAAATTGTTTGATGCATGCAGCTTCATTTGGTATGTGGGGTATTCATGACCGAAGATTAACGCTGAGAAAAACTGTTTATCAAGTTCTTATTGAAGATAAAACAGGTTTAAAAACTTTACTCACGGATTTGATGATGCTGTTTTTATAAAACGGTGAAAATTCACTATTAAAAATTAGTTAGCAGTACGAATTATATCAATTTGAACGGAAACTCTGTTTTGATGACAGATGCTCGTAGCAACGCACCCGCGTTGTCTTGACAACGAAGTGTTAAAAAACAAGGAGCGTTGGTTTTTCATTCATCCAGTAAGAAATTAGTTTACAAAATCCTTTTCTAAATTCTTTATACTTAACTTCTTTCTACTACCTTACATTTTTTCGATTTAAACTATTTTTAAAAATATTTTATTAAATTTTCGGCCAAATACTGCAGCTTTCTTCAGAAATAAACCAGAAGAACATGATGATTTCATATATTGAGCTATCTATCTTATTCACAATGAAATGAACGATTCACAAAAGAAATAATAAGAGTATATATTCTATAAGGCTCCGTTTACACTATACCGAATTACTATCGTAGCAGTCGTAACAAGTTAAATTTCTTTTGACTTAATGACCAAAGGACAATCACATCATATTCAACAAAACATGAAGACCATTTTAAAAACAGTAAAGAGCAGAAACCATGTGCCAAGATTAACTGCAGAAACATTGCCAGTATCAATAGCAACTATTGTCATCAATGTAGAAACACAGACAACACACGTATTTGCACTTCTCCTGGCTGTGGTTATACCGCCAACCCAGATTATGAAGACTTATGTTCTACCTGTTTCACAACATTGAAATCTTTACTACACGAGGGAACAAAGATGGCAACTCCTTCAGCGTCACCTAATGATAGATGTTACAATAACTGCGTGAACAAAGGAAACGATGACTTTCGCGGCCTGTGTTATGATTGCTATAGAGAGAAATTTCTCAATTATCGTTCTTCAGCAAAAAAAGATGTCAGACAATTCACATCCACTGTGCAAGACAATACAACTAGAAAAACAACAAACAGTAGAAGGAAAGATGAAAAGAAGTTTTATGTTGTTGAAGCAAGTTCATCCACGCGCTCAGTTAACGTTGTATCCAATCCAAACTGTGCGAAAATTTTGCCAATTTCAAGGAAAGTGGAAACGGTCGAGAGAAGATGTCTGACTAAAAAATGTCTGTTCTTTGGTACTCCAGAGAATTAAAATTTGTGTTCACAATGTTATGCAAAGACTCTAAGACTAAAGTCGGAAAAGAAGTCTCAAGGCAGAAAAAAAACGAGATGAAAAGAACAGGAAAATAACGCAACAAGCCATGCTTTGCACAGGTTTCATTACGAGAATGAACCTCGTTATCAGGTGAAGGAATTATTTGCCAACTTTTCAATACCACCTAGAGGAGGGTTTTTATTTTTTAGTCAATTTTCGTGGAGAAAAGTGCTTCAGGATCTTCATCACAAGCACAAAGGCTGTGAATGTTTTGGAACAGAAGAAAATCAGGGATTTTTTTATAAATGTTTTGAGTCAGGGAGTATCCGTTACTGTTGGTGTTGATGTAAATCATCCAAGTTAGTAAAGTCCTGAGAAGAACTGTAACTGTTGGTGTTGATGTTAACTGACGTTTTGACAACCTTAGCGGCAATTGACTCTGAAGATGACTACCGCTAAGGTTGTCGAAACGTCGGTCAACATCCACACCAACAGTCTTTCACAGGACTCTACTAACCGGGAGGATAAACAATCGACATTTATAATATGAAACATGACAGAAAACATGTTGTGCAATAAAAAGAATAAAAAAATTTTTGTTTCAATAAACACGAAAAAAGTATTGCCATTATATTGGCATAGTGGCTGTTTAACAGAATTGTATCGATCTTAGTAGCTAATAAAGTAGCTATTAAATGAAATGTATTCACTTACTTATATAAATGTTGGTATAAATTGGATGTGACAAACCTCATAAAAGTCTTCATCTTTTCTTATTCATATCTTGTATATTTTCTTCATATCATCTCACAAAATATGATCACATCGCAAATACTAAATTAATAGCAATGAACTGGAGCATCCATAATCAAGTGCTAGAACAGTGATAATTAATAAAATTAGGGGCCCACGTTGGTTTCCTAAATTTTACTTGCTAAAGAAACTAGCTATGATATTAGTAATGGTAATGACCCACTTGAGTATGTCTTTTCCTAAGGGCCTGTTTATATGGAGCCGAGTTACCCGGCTGAGCGAGTTACTCGCCTAGCCGGGTAAATCAGCCCTTATATAAAATGTATGCATTTCCCGTGAATCGTTTATATTATACATCCGAGTAACTCGCTTTGCCGGATAAATCGGCCCTTATATAAAATGTATGCATTTCCCGGTGAATCGTTTATATTATACATCCGAGTAACTCCCCTTGCCGGGTAACTCGGTTTGTGTAAGCGAGTTACCCGGCTAGGCGGGATGAATTGTTCCATATAAACGCATTTGCCGGGTAACTCGGCGAGGCGAGAAAATTGGCTCTGTTGGTACCCATGCGTACTAAGCCTTCTACATGCAGCATTATTATTCAAAAACATAAAAGTATCATAATTTTCAATTTTATATTCACCCATTCCATTTTTGCTGCGAAACTGTGAGGCTTTTTAAAATCTCGCGCCTTTACTCCAAGTTAGAACTACCAAACTTCATTTAAGACAAATGAACGGAAGTACTAGCCGAGTTACCCGGTGCCATATAAATAGATCACTTTGTCAAACCCGGTTGAGCGAGTAACTCGCTCAGCCGGGTAACTCGGCTCCATATAAACAGGCCCTAAGATGATTTTGTGTTTTCCTTACTACTCAAATCACAGACATCATATTTCATTTTAAGACGACTTTGTTGGATTGAGAGACTGATAATGAATTTGTTCAGATTCTTAAAAACTACATCTGGTCTTAATACACAACATGAGACTCACTGGCTATAAGTTTTTTTTTATCAAACAGAATAATTGCAAATCTGTATTGACAGCAAAAGAAATTTTTCAAGAGGCTAGAAAAATTGCTCATATGTTTGAACTGGCAATATTGTGGAAATCAAGCTTATCATAGCGTCAGCATTTTCAATTTCAAGACCTTTTATTTGAGAGGAATACTTTTTTCTAATTTCGCGGGAGTAAATGAAGGAAAAAAACGAAAATTGCAGTTGAGTGTATTCAGTGATAACAAATATGGCAAACCAATGTTAAAAAGCCAAAAACAAAAGCTGTTAATGGAACGTCACATAATTTTAAGATAAACTCATTGGCATTTTCACAGAAAGGATTAAGCAATAAAGCTACTTTAGCAATTGCTTTATTGCTTAATCCTTTTTGTCATGTTTAATAACTGTATAATGACATGTATACAAGCGGCCTGTGTTATGATTGCTATAGAGAGAAATTTCTCAATTATCGTTCTTCAGCAAAAAAGGACGTCGGACAATCCAGATCCGTTGTCCAATGCAATAGAACTAGAAAAACAACCAACATGGGAAGGAAAGATGGAAAGAAATTTCAGGTTTGTGATTTTAATGATCAGAGGACAATGGCATCATATTCAACCAAATATGAAGACCATTTTAAAAATAGAAAGGAGCATAAACCATGTGCAAAGATTAACTGCAGAAACACTGCCAGTATCGAAAACAATTATTGTCATCAATGTAGAAACACAAACAACACACGTATTTGTACTTCTCCTGGCTGTGGTAACACTGCGAGCCCAGAATATGAAGACCTATGTTCTGTCTGTTTTACAACATTGAAGTCTATACTACACGAGAGACCAAAAAGGGCAACTCCATTTGTGTCAGTTAGCGATAGATGTTATAATGACTGTATGAACAATGGAAATGAGGACTTACGTGGCCTGTGTTATGATTGCTACAAAGAAAAGTTTCTCAATTGTCGTTCTTCAGGAAAAAAAGATATCGGACAATCCACATCCAATGTGCAAGGTAATACAACTAGAAAAACAACAAACAGTGGAAGGAAAGATGAAAAGAAATTTCATGTTGTTAACGCAAGTTCATCCACGCGCTCAGTTAACGTTGTATCCCATCCAAACTGTGCGAAAATTTCGCCAATTTCAAGAAAAGTAGAAACGGTCGAGAGAAGATGTCTGACTAAAAAATGTCTGTTCTTTGGTACTCCAGAGAATGAAAACTTGTGTTCACAATGTTATGCAACTCTAAAACTAAAGTCGGAAAAGAAGACTCAAGACAGAAAAAAAACGAGATAAAAAGAACAGGAAAATAACGCAACAAGCCATGCTTTGCACAGGTTTCATTACGAGAATGAACTTCATTATCAGGAGAAGGAATTATTTGCCAACTTTTCAGTTTCACCTAGAGTAAGGTTTTTATTTTTAGCCAATTTTGGTGAGAAAAGTGCTGCAGCATCTTCATCACCAGCTCAAAGGCTGTGGATGTTTTGGAACAGAAGAAAATCAGGGTTTTGTTATAAATGTTTTGAGTCAGGAGTATCCGTTACATGTTTAAAGATGTAAATCGTCCAAGTTAGTAAAGTCCCGAGAAGAATTGTAACTGTTGGTGTTGATGTTAATGTATTCAATGTATTTAATGTATTTAATATGAAATGTATTCACTTACTTATATAAATGTTGGTATACATTGGATGTGACAAGCCTCATACACAATTTCGTAACAATTGCATATATTGGCAATGTTGGCATTTATTTTTCACACGCCACTTTCGCTAATAAGTTATTATTCAAGAGGGTAGGACAATTATGCAAGCCATGACAAAGATAGCACTTAGCTATAATATTAGTAATGGTAATGACCCACTTGAGTACTACTACTCAAATCACAGACATCATGAGACTCAAGAGTGAGGGACATCAAAAGATAAACGCATTAAACTATGGAAATGACTTGTAGCACACTTATTTTCGTTTGTGGTTGTTTGATAAAAACAATCTGTCAAATTCTTACCAAAGATGTGACAGGTAAGGAGCTCGGGTGTGTGATGAGGAACACGCGAAGAACAAATAAGTCCTTATTCATTTAAACTTCATTTTAGGCATGTATCGACAACGCTGGCAGCTGGGAATCGTAAGGCAGTTGGAGGATCAAAATGCTGGTGTCCCAATGGATTTTGGTGTCGAGCAGTGGAACGAAGACTGGAAAAAAACAGTGGCTCTTCCAACAACACCAAGTTTTTACTGTCTTGAGGAGATTCATATATTTGCCTTAGCTAATATTCTTCAAAGACCAATTCTGGTAATATGTGCCAATTTTAATCGTGGTGACTTCGTACATTCATCAAATTTCTGCACTTAACTGATAATTTTTCTTCATATATAATGTTAACAACGATTACAAATACTCAATTTATCGTAATGGCTCCATAATCAAAGGTGCTATTTCAATGCTAAACCCTCAGCCCTTCGTTACAACACTTGCAAAACACCCCAATACCAATAACCATTAAAAGCTCCTAATAACAAACAAAAACAGCTACCACAAAACGCACATTACTATCAACAGGAACTTCTACATTGACAATGCAATCCATATTTCCACTATAAATGCAATTATGCAAACAGTTCTTTTAGATACACTTTGAATTGCAAATTTTAAAATATATCATAGGCTTATCATAACAGGGACCCGAGTCGTTATGGAACTATAGATGTATTAGCGAGCTTTAGCAAAGCCTACGAGTACGACTACGAGTACGATTTACGTCATTTTGGCGCGAAAACATTGTTGCGACAACAACCACCTGTAGCCGTCATCAATTTGTGTACGATGTTTTGTAAAAAATTCGTAGTCGTGACTACAATGTCTTTTTAAGCAAAGAAAGTAGATATATTTCTTCATTCCGTAAGAGATTAGTTTACAGTACTATTTTCGAGCATCCAGGCTTTAATTTAGAACCCATTTTTGAGCGCAGATGTACATAAAAAAATGAAAATATGACCTGCAAAACTTTCATGTATTTCGTACGCAAAGTGAAAGGTAAACAAACAATAAAATAGTACAAATATATCGTACATTAAACTTGAAATAGTGAAGATTTTTCAGTCTAAAGAGTCCTATATTCTCGCAAAATCAGTATTACCGATTCGTTGATATAATTATTGACAAATAGAGCCGTAGCTGCTTCGCAAACTTTGGTGTTTTACACAATAAAAAGGCTCGTTCTGTTGTTTAGAGCTAAAACTAAATTTTGACGAAGTGACAACGACAACAAACTTCCTCGTGCCATTCTCTTACACGGTCAAACTTCATACTCGTTGTCGTAGTCGCGCTCTTGCTAAAGCTCCCTAATGAAAGAGGCCCAGCGACACAATAACGCCTTCGAGAAATTACACGCATTTTAAGAGCTCGTAAAAGTGTTCCCTCTGGATCAACTCTGTGCATCGATTGACGAATGCGTGTTTGTTGGACAAATACACCTCTGGATCGCAAAAGGCCTGTCATTCTTTTCGAGCCGCTGAGCCGCTGTTTGCAGCTGATAATCCACATTTATGCATTTTCCTTTCTACAGTTCGTTTACTTGTACCAAATAATTCAGCAATCTCTGCGACTTTATTGTGCGATGATATTGCCTTATTTCATGGTGGAATGCACGCGTCCGTGTTCCATTTCCGTCAGGATTTGTCATGATAAAAACGTCATTTGGTTGTCTGATAAAAACAATCTGTCAAATTCTTAGATGTGACAGGTAAGGAAGTCGGGTTTGTGATCAGGAACACGCGAATAACAAATAATTGAGTGATTCAATAGTTCGTAAATTTGTAATATCATCATAAACGTGAGCACGTTATTTTTTACAACTATATGCAATTTGAAAAAGAGCGTACAGACAGTAGAGAAAGACAAAGATCTGAGTCTTTTGACTGATTTTACACAATTCATCTTTCTTGCATTCAAATCAAAGAATATTATCATCATACATTTACGTAATCATACAAATTGGCATATATAGTAACAAACGCGTTGCATTATTTTAACTTTCTCAACGTACAGAATTACTGTGTAGTTGAAAATCTTAAGAGTATACAAAGGCAGTCGAAATTTATTTTTGAATGTCTTGTATATTTTATATCGTTAGAGTTAACAGAGTCCATGCAAGGCTTTCCACAAGGTATTTTAGCTACAAGTATCACAGGCTTGCATTTTAGCTACAAGTATTTCCGTTATACACCGATTTTCATCAGTGTAATTCAACTTTAAACAATTCAAGTATTCCCGCAGTAATCGGTCTGAGAAATTCCTTTCCTCTCGTAACAAACAACGGAGTTTCATAGGCTGACCATCGTCTTTCATTAATGATACTCCTTCATTATTTTCTGTCAACACAAGTTCTGTAAAGTGTCCATGGTGATAGCGAATCAAAAGAGGAGTTTTGATACAATCTACGGAGTCAGATAACAATGGTAAGTATATGCCACCAAGGTTTACACCAGCAATTTGGTCATCATAGTCACCACGATTAAAATTGGCACATATTACCAGAATTGGTCTTCGAAGAATATTAGCTAAGGCAAATATATGAATCGACTCAAGACAGTAAAAACTTGGTGTTGTTGGAAGAGCCACTGTTTTCTTCCAGTCTTCGTTCCACTGCTCGACACTAAAATCCATTGGGACACCAGCATTTTGATCCTCCAACTGCCTTACGATTCCCAGCTGCCAGTGTTGTCGATACATGCCTAAAATGAAGTTTAAATGAATAAGGACTTATTTGTTCTTCGCGTGTTCCTTATAACACACCCGATGACCTTACCTGTCACATCTTCGGTAAGAATTTGGCAGATTGTTTTTATCAGACAACCACAAACGAAAATATGTGTACTACAAGTTATTTCCATAGCTTAATGCGTTTATCTTTTTCTTTGTATCAAAGTTCTTTCCTTCTTTCCTTCTCCAGCGTTGTCTGAACCTAGTGCGAAGCAGCAGCGACCTTGCTGTCAATAATGGTCTTGCTCTTGATATTGATCTTCCATGATGTGATACTTGAGAGAACTTTGTTCGTAATTAGCATTAACAAATTCATTTCTTTGGTATTAAGTACGTAGTATACCTGGTATGGAATTCTATGTTATTCCAGTATTATTCAACAGAAGGTCTTTTCCAGGATAAATTTTGGTCAACATTTAAAGCTAATGTTTTACTTTCTGAAAGCTGTGTAATATTTTTTATCGACTTTAATGTTAAATTTAGAGACTTTTCTTCTATTTAGCATTAGTTTTGAGTTGATTACCATGAATTCAGTTTTATCAACATCGAGAGTTAAGCATGGTTACTAACTCTGAATTCATGATAGTTTCGACATCAGTAACTGTTTCATCACTTGCAGTTAAGTAGGTTTGTCTCGTCACCAAACAACCATTCGAGATGATACGTATATGGAAAGGGAATGATAGGCGTTTATTATATCGCGACAAAAAGTGCCTTCTATTAAAACACGATTCGATTCATACGAATAGAATGTACGTTTATTAATAGCATGTGCATCAACCATCGAATCAAACTACGTTGTAAACTCGGTCACATTCACAACAAAGTTCCTCGTCGACTCGAGAAATACAAAATAGCCAACTGTCGCTTGATAGACTTTATACGCAAGGGACAAAAAGAAATATGTAATATAAAAATCGTTTGAGCGCGGTGCTCTGTAAATTTTAAAGATTTAGGCCCAGGCCACACTATCGGCTATATTCACGAAAACGAAAACAAAACGAAAATTCGTGCACGAAGTACATGTCAGATACGATGTAAAATTGCACGCATGTTTACAAAGATCGGCTAAAACGTAAACGGTAATTGTTGGATGTGTCTTTGTAGTAGCCTTTGCAGTGACAAAACAAGCAAAGAAGAAAAGGTGTCTTTTGGAAAAAGATACTCCTTCTGAAGTTGAAAGCAAGCATTTAGCAAGATACTAGATTCACCCAATTAATAAACGACGTGATCGACTGGGATAATTTAACAACTTGATTAAAGAGTTACGAGAACCTAACAAAGACAACAGACTCATATAAATACTTGCGAGTGACGACAAATTGTATTTCTCACATCAGATTTATTAAAACCTCGTGCCATCCTGCCATCTTTGTGTAGTAAAGTTTTAGATTATTAGCCAATTGCATGCGTTTTCGTTAACGAAAAAGGTCAAAAATTCAACTCTTCTAATCTGCACGAAAACGAAATTTTCGTTCAACATTTTCGTTGCGGCAGTTTTCGTTCTAATTTTCGTCCATATGGACGATAATGTGGCCTAGGCTTTAGGCCACACCATAGTGTGGCTAGGAATTCATTACCATGAATTCAGTTTTACCGATTAATACGTGAATTGTAAAGTAGGAAAAGTTAGTAAGTTAGGCCAAATCATCTTTTTCGTCCATATGGAGGATAGTGTGGCGCCTAGGCTTTAGATTCAGCGCACAAACGAGTAAAATACCATACACGCGTATCTGCGTATCTTACAGAAAAGAATGCTTTGTCGAATGAAACCACTTTTTATTCAATACGGAAACTATCAGAGATCACAGACGTAGATACGCATGTGTTAAAACTATTTTCTCATGTCTGCGGGGACACGTTTATCACCTTATTCCAAAGAAAGAATAGCTACTAATATTAAGTAAGGAAGGAAAGAAATTCACTGAAAATAGCCGGGAATTAGCACCGAGCAATTGTCCTGTAAGCAGACAGACTATTTCAGCCGTTGTCAGCGATTCAAAAAAACGATACGCGTATAAAATAGAACGATAAACGTATGATACGAGAACGATACGCTCATCATACGCAAAATTATGTTAACAAATACGCGCGCGGTACCGTACCCGATTGAGGGAGTTTCTCGAATAGCCGGATAACTAGACTCCATACAAACAAGTCCTTATTTATTTCAACTTCATTTTAGGCACTTATCAACAACGCTGGCAGTTGGAAGTCGAAAGGCAGTTGGAGGATCAAAATGCTGGTACGCCAATGGATTTTGGTGTAGAGCAACGGAGCGAAGACTGGAAGAATACAGTCGCTCTTCTAACAACAGCAAAATCAACTACACACAACAGCTTCCATTCTCTAGAGGAGATTCATATATTTACCTTAGCTAACGTTCTTCGAAGACCCATTCTTGTAATATGTGACGATTTTTTTCGTGGTGACTATGATGACCAAATTGCTGGTGTGAACCTTGGTGGCATATACTTACCATTGTTGTCTGACTCTGTGGATTGTATCAAAACCCCTCTTTTGATTCGCTACCACCATGGACACTTTACAGAACTTGTGTTGGCAGAAAATAATGAGAGAGTTTCATTAATAAAACATGATGGTCAGCCTATGAAAGTCCGTTGTTTGTTACCAGAGGAAAGCAATTACTCTGATCGATTACTGCGGGAATACTTGAATTGTTTAAAGTTGAATTACACTGATGAAAATGGGTGTACAACGGAAATACTTGGAGCGAAAATGCAAGCCTGTGATACTTGTGGCTAAAATAGATACGCACCGTGTACATGTGGATAGCCTTGAATGGACGCTGTATTAACGATATAAAATATACAAGACATTCAAAAATTAACTAGCCATTATACATACCTTATTTATATTAACTATTTATACATACATTAATTATGCTAACTATATTATACAACGTTCTATTCTTTGCTTTTATGGAGAGTTGTAAAAAATAACGTGCTCACGTTTATGATGATATTACAAATTTACCACGAACTATCGAATTACAAAGATTTTACTTTCTGGGGTGCAGTAAAATTATTTAAAAATTGTAGTTTTTGGTCTATTTCTATGGCTCTAACTAAAACTTTATGTTGGGCATTAATTTTTATTACACGAATTCGATTTCCGCTCGGCAAGTCTTTCGCTACTAAGTATTTACTGTGCTAAATTGCAGTCGTTTGCATGTTGACTAAACGGAAAAACGCGTAAAGAGATCGTATGAATTGTAACTACAGCACATTGAAAATGCCAATCATTAAATCATTTCGTGTTATCGTTACAATTACGTTTATGTCTTATTGGAGGTTGATTACGGCTGAATGATGCATATGTTAAATGTCTGCTAATTTCAATGGGTTGCATTTTGCATGCACCCTGTAGATACAAAGGGTGAGTTTCAATATATTTTCATGCTTTCACGCAACATTTGTTAACGAAAATATACATTCTACAAGTTAAATATTTAGTTTTAGTGGTACCAGCCTTGTATGAAACAAGTGAAGATTTGATCAGTTTGATTTGTTCGGCAGATAGGGGGTAGGGGAAGGTTTAGGTGGGGATTACGAGGGTAGAGGGAGGTTATGTTTCACATCTGAAACTGTGATTCAAATTTTCATCCTTAATTCACAACCAGATTACACAACATTGAACAATGAAGCATGAATCATAGCCAACACTTCTCGACGGACATTCACGGGGAGTACAAGCAAAGAAGCATCCAAGTGACAATAGAGCATACAAGTGACAACCCATATTTTAAAACAAGGACAAACAAAATTACACCAACATTTAGATCATTGCCGACTTTCAAATTAATGGAATGAATGTCATTTAATGTCCTCGACCTCACATATTCTTGACGTAGTTCCTCGTTGCCATCTTTTCGTAAATCGTCAACCGAAATTTATTGAGAGGAAGATGGGCAATTTCTACGTCTACACTTCGACATATTTTCGGCTTTTCAAAGTGAGAAATGGAAAATATGTATAATTATCAGCAATTTTTATGCAAAGTTGGTGCAATCTCGATCGTGATTGGCTGACGTAATTCTTTATGTGAAAATTGTAAACAAAAAAGCTTTTGCTATTTACCTCGCGATGTATCGCGCTTTGCAAATCGCGACATGTTAGGCCCGGTTCAAACGTCGCATTTTACATGCGCCGAATCAAATGCGAGAATTATGTGCATGTAAAATGCGACGTTTGAATCAATTAAATTCGACGGATTTTAATTTAATGCGACTTTAGTCGCATATTCGACTGAGTTAGTCGAATATTCGACGGAAATTCGATGTTGATTCAAACGTCGCATTTTACATGAGCCGAATTTAATGCATAATTTATTTTAAGATATTTCTAAGCAAATATCAATTATTTCCATGCTAAATGCCATGCGCAAAGTTGTAAAAGCATGGCGGCGGCGAGTGATGGTAATGGCCCTTGTATTTCGTGCACAAGTTTAACAAAATACACTTGTTTAAAGTGCAAAAAATTTATATGTACAAGGAAAGTTTCCTCGAGATACACGAAATGTTTTTTTGAATCAGAATAAATACTCCAAACTTTCTTCCACCAGCCGGAATTTCTATCTTGTCTTCGACATGATCGATAAGGAGGGCTACGTATGAAGGCTTTTGACCAATTAACGGTAGAAAACATGGAAATTTGCAGAAGCTGCCGTCTCGTTTCTAATAGTTTATTTGCTGTAACATGCATCAATATTCGTCTTTTCCTATTAACACGAATCATATTTGAAATGCATAAACTCAACATTTTTCTGTTCGCCATTTTAGGAAATTAGTACAAGAAAATGAATAAACTATGAAAAAGTGGAAGCATAACTATAATAAATGCGACTATTAAATTCGACGTCTGAATCAAACCACGCATTAAACTATTTTAGTCGACTAAAACTCAGATTTGATTCGGCGCATGTAAAATGCGACGTTTGAACCGGGCCTTAATTTGCACCACAGAAAGTAAACTCTTTTTAATCTTGGTACTTCGTCAATAGTTCGTGGTAAATTTGTAATAGCATCATAAACTTGAGCACGTTATATTCTGCAACTCTCCACAGTCTAAAGGGTTCATTCCAAGTGTAAAGTATAGTAAGGTAAAATTAGACAGATTGTAGTCCTCAGCCTCAATGTACGTTAATATATTTCGCAAGCACCAAGATAAGACACATGTAGCCAATATGAACATAATAGCCCAACATAAGACTTTTAAAAAAGCCATTACAATAATAAAATAGAGAAGGACTTATTAATAACGTTTTTATTTCTTCTTGTAACAATTTGTAACAATTTTGTTGTAAAAGTCTTATGTTGGGCTATTATGTTCATATTGAAAATTCGCTTTCCTCCTGGCAAATCTCTGGCCACGATTTTAAATAAACGCTACAAAAACGAAGCACTCGAAGCGTTCAGGAAATTCCAGCGTCTTGAACTCAAGCTTGGAAAAGCCAAACTCGACCTGGAGTTCCTTATTACGTAAGAAGCGCTCGATAATACCAAGATTCCTATGGTTTAAGGTTGCTAATCGCAGATTGCAATCCTCTAGCGCCTATTGACAATGTCAATACAAAAGCGAATTTTCAATATGAACATAATAGCCCAACATAAGACTTTTAAAAAAGCCATCACAATAATAAAATACGCTTTCATACCATACGCATTGTCTACAATTTGTGAGGAAGATAGGCAATTTCTACGTCAACACTTCGACATATTTCCTGCTATTTCTAGTTAGAAATGGGAAATATGTATTATTATCAGGATTATTATGCAATCCCAGTCGATCACGTGGTTTATTAATTGGGTGAATCTAGTATCTTGCTAAATGCTTGCTTTCAACTTCAGAAGGAGTATCTTTGCCAGATGATACTCCGTTTTTTGTTTGCATTCCTTACCCTTTTAAATACTCAAAATTATCTGGTGCGAACCAACGGTCGAAATTATAAAAGATCTTAACACAAAGATCTTTTTCTTGTACTCATAAAGATCATTATTAAATAACGTTCTGTGGTTTTTGATTGATTTTGCTGTTGATGCCAGAGCAACTGTTTTCTTCCAGTCTTCGCTCCATTGCTCAATGCCAATATCCATTGAGAAATTGCTTTCCTCTGGAAAGAATTATATGAAAAAACGTTTTTCTTTCTTCTCGTAACAATTTGTCGAATGAAACCACTTTTTATTCAATACGGACACTATCAGAGATCGCAGACGTAGATACGCATGTGTTAAAACTATTTTCTCATGTCTGCGGGGACGCGTTTATCACCTTATTCCAAAGAAAGAAAAGCTACTAATATTAAGTAAGAAAGGAAAGAAATACACTGAAAATAGCCGCGAATTAGCACCGAGCAATTGTCCTGTAAGCAGACAGACTATATCAGCCGTTGTCAGAGATTCAAAAAAACGATACGCGTATAAAATAGAACGATAAACGTATGATACAAGAACAATAAACGTATGATACAAGAAAGATACGCGTATGATACAAGAAAGATACGCTCATCATACGCAAAATTATGTTAACAAATACACGAGCGGTACCGTACCCGATTGATGGAGTTTCTTGGCTAGCCGGATAACTCGACTCCATACAAGTCCTTATTCATTTAAACTTCATTTTAGGCACTTATCGACAACGCTGGCAGTTGGAAGTCGAAAGGCAGTTGAAGGATCAAAATGCTGGTATCCCAATGGATTTTGGTGTAGAGCAATGGAGCGAAGACTGGAAGAAAACAGTCGCTCTTCCAAGTTTTTACTGTCTTGAGGAGATTCGTATATTTGCCTTAGCTAATATTCTTCGAAGACCAATTCTGGTAATATGTGCCAATTTTAATCGTGGTGACTATGATGAACCAATTGCTGGTGTAAACCTTGGTGGCATATACTTACCACTGTTATCTGACTCCGTGGGTTGTATCAAAACTCCTCTTTTGATTCGCTATCACCATGGACACTTTACAGAACTTGTGTTGACAGAAAATAATGAAGGAGTATCATTAATGAAATACGATGGTCAGCCTAGGAAACTCCGTTGTTTGAGGAAAGGAATTTCTCAGATCGATTACTGCGGGAATACTTGAATTGTTTAAAGTTGAATTACACCGATGAAAATGGGTGTATAACGAAAATACTTGTAGCTAAAATGTAAGCCTGTGATACTTGTGGCTAAAATAGCCTTGTTGGAAGTCTTGCATGGACGCTGTTCTAACGATATAAAATATACAAGACATTCAAGAACTTTATAAAATATGTTTAGTGAGCTTCCAAGGTGTAATATATTATTCAGTCCAGGATGACTAAAAAAGCGTTTTTACTTGAGAAATGCTCTCTTATATACACGAGCTTCCATCTATTAACTAGTCATTATACATACCTTAATTATACTAACTATTTATACAAACATTAATTATGCTAACTATTTAAACATACATTAATTATGCTACTATATTATACAAGGTTCAATTCTTTGCTTTCAAGGTGAATAAGATGAATTGCGTAAAATCAGTCAAGACTCAGATTTTGCCTTTCTCTACTGTCTGTAGGCTCTCTCTCAAGTTGTATATCCACGACGAAATTAGAATTTTACAGTCAGTTAACTTACTTCACTATACTTTACACTAGGAATGAACCCTTCAGATTATGGAGAGTTGCAAAAAATAACGTGCTCACGTTTATGATGATATTACAAATTTACCACGAACTATTGAATTACAAAGATTTTACTTTCTGGGGTGCAGAAATTTTTTTTAAAAATTGTAGTTTTTGGTCTATTTCTATGGCTCTAATTAAAACTTTATGTTGGGCATTAATTTTTATTACACGAATTCGATTTCCGCTCGGCAAGTCTCTCGCTACTAAGTATTTACTGTGCTAAATTACAGTCGTTTGCTTGTTGACTAAACGGAAAAACGCGTAAAGAGATCGTATGAATTGTAACTACAGCACATTGAAAATGCCAATCATTAAATCATTTCGTGTTATCGTTACAATTACGTTTATGTCTTATTGGAGGTTGATTACGGCTGAATGATGCATATGTTAAATGTCTGCTAATTTCAATGGGTTGCATTTTGCATGCACCCTGTAGATACAAAGGGTAAGTTTCAATATATTTTCATGCTTTCACGCAACATTTGTCAACCATAATATACATTCTACAAGTTAAATGTTTAGTTTTAATGGTGGCAGCCTTGTATGAAACAAGTGAAGATTTGATCAGTCTACAAGTTAAATGTTTAGTTTTAGTGGTACCAGCCTTGTATGAAACAAGTGAAGATTTGATCAGTCTACAAGTTAAAAGTTTCATTTTAGTGGTACCAGCCTTGTATGAAACAAGTGAAGATTTGATCAGTCTACAAGTTAAAAGTTTCATTTTAGTGGTACCAGCCTTGTATGAAACAAGTGAAGATTTGACCAGTTTCATTTGTTTGGCAGATAGGGGGTATGGGAAGGTTTAGGTGGGGATTACGAGGGTAGAGGGAGGTTATGTTTCACATCTGAAATTGTGATTCAAATTTTCATCCTTAATTCACAACCAGATTACACAACATTGAACAATGAAGCATGAATTAAAACATAAAACTAAAAAAATGCAAATACCATTAAACCATGACCATTTATTATAGTGAAATGTGTGATAATTTACATTCAACGTTTTCCACCAACACGACCTGTACTTCTTCCACCTTTTTGTTTTGTTGGAGCTTTTGCCTTCACTGGTTGTTGTGCAGCCTTGAATAAATGATGAGTGTTATTGAGATATCTTAGTAAGAATGGTTTACTTCATGTAAGAAGTAAATAAAAGATGTTTACTGTTTTCCACAAGTGAATGCAAACCAAAGAGATCTTGCAAGAAATTAAGATCAGATCATTGCAAGCACAAGACCAAACATCAAGGGTTGCAGATGCTTGGGAGTTCTCACAAATGTCTCTGACGTGTGCATAAGCCAGCGCAAATATGAAAAAACATCTTTTATTTCTTTTATAAAATAACAATAATGCAAACAGGCAAATTTAAACAAAAGTTTCAATTCTTCCTCTAAATGTGTTCATGATTGATTTGCAAATTCTCTTTGATTGATTGATTGATTTGATTGGTTGAGCTTTGAATGGTTTGCAAACACAGCTATAGACTAACTGCATACGTTTTACTGTTTCTATTTTATGATACACAGTATAAATTGACAACGATTCATCGAATCATTGAAAACTTATGATAAATACTGAACTTCATGAAGAAATTTATCACTCGCTTGGGTGGGAATTAAATTCACAATATGTGCCATAATTTTGCCCAAAGTTAGTCATGAAAAGTTTGTCATACAATTTGCCCACACACAAACAAACAGTCAAAGTTTCTAATAAATATTAATTTCAATGTTTGAACATAAAAATTTTGTTCAAAGCAGTTTATCAACAGCAAATTGCACTGAAAAAGCCAACCTACTTTACATTATAATAGTTGAGTAATTGTTACAACCTTTAAATACCTTTGTCATCTTTTTAGCCTCCTTCTTTTGCCTGATTTTATCTTTAGCAGCTCTAAATGTTTATAAATCGTCAACAAAATGATCAATTTTCTCAAAATCTGATTCAGTTTAAGTTTGAGGATTTTCAATGTTTCTCTCTGATTATAATTCATTTTCTCACAGTTGTTACTCATACAATGTAGGTAAAAAAGAATCTTCACTGAGAAACAAAATCAAAATCTTTTAGTCAAGCATAAAAGATGTAATTTTTTAGATATTAAAGACACCAGACAGTTGTGTTTAATACCTTATTGCCTGCTCTCTTTGTGCTTTTCTTACTTCAGGCTTCTGATTGCGTTTGGCCAAAATAGTTTCAAGAGTTGCACCCTGGATGGCTCGTTGGAATTTAACATTTCGTCTTGTTCTCTTTTTCGAGACTCTTCAACTGAGCCCTTTTTGTGTTTTCTACGGTAAAGGACAGTCCATGAAATCTTTCGTGGATTTCCTCTCATCAAGAAGGATCTCTCACATTTTTTGTCCAGGATATTGAAAACAAACAAACAAACAAACAAACAACATTTATATACCGGCCAGTATTAATCCCCGCCAGGGGGGTTTACCGGTCCATGAATTTTTCCACGCCACACGTCTTTATCTCTCGCCATATCTCTCGTTATACCCATCGCCTTCATATCACTGTTCACAGTATCCATCCATCTCTTTCTCGGTCTACCTCGTTTGCGGACTCCATCAACATTCATATGCAACGTTCTACGAATTTCAGCACTTTCTTCCCTCCTTTCCACATGCCCAAACCACCTCAAACGCTGGCGCCTTACCCAATTCTCGATACACTCAACACCAACTCTCTAATCTCTTCACTTCGAATCCTATCCATCAACGTTACACCACACATCATCCTAAGCATCCTCCTTTCGTCGACGCCAATCTTCTCAGGTCCTCTGCTTTCGGCGCCCAACACTCTGCTCCATATCCCAAAACACTTCTAACACATGCCTTATACAATTCTCCCTTCTGCTTCAACGAAGTGGACTTTCCGCACAACATTCCCGAAAACTCTCTAAAACTCCACCACGCTGCTTGAACTCTGTTCCTCACCGCTTGCTCGCACCCTCCACCATCATTTAACACATCGCCCAGATATTTAAACTCTGATACACCTTCCAAACTCACGTAACCCAGTTCAAACCGTTCAATCGCGACTCGCCCACCACTTCGACACGTCCCGCACTCAAAATCAGTTACTCTTGTCAATGCACCACGGACACCTGAACATCTTCCATGAACCCACTTACTGCATTTCCCACACATTATCGAATTCACTCCAACTCTTTTCCCACACACCACATGGCCATTTATCACTGTCCTTCACCTCCACCTGCCTCGAGCATCTCATGCCCTTCGTCTTTGCCTCATTCACTTTCAGTCCCTTGACTTCTATTGCCGTTTTCCATTCTCGGTACCATTCCATGACTTTCTGCTTCGACTCCGCCACCAAGACAATGTCATCTGCATACAACAAACACCAGCATCCTTCTTTTCTTCTCACTTCCTCTGTCAGTACATCCATCACACAAGCAAACAGTAACGGCGACAAGACTGAACCTTGATGAACACCAACTTTTACCTCAAAAACACCAGATCTAACACCTTCCTCCGTAACCACCGCCTCTACACCTTCATAAGTCGCCATAACTGCCCGAACCATATTCTCTGTCACACCTTTCTTACGCAGCGCGTACTCGATCACCTTTCTTGGAACTCTATCAAACGCCTTCTCCAAATCTACAAACACCATATACAATTCTCTGTCCTTCTCCAAAAATTTCTCCTGCAGCTGCCTCAACACAAAACACGCATCCGTCGTTCCTCTCCCCGGTATGAATCCATACTGCTCTTCCCCCATCCGAACAACTTCCCTCAACCTTCTATCCAAATTCGTCCAGGATATTGAAAGACTATTAAATTGATGTATAAAACATTTATTGGTTATGGCAAAATAATATAGATGTGATTTTACAATTAAGTTTTCAAAGTGTGTTTTAAAAATAACTATATATCAACAAAGGGATAAATTAAGTTGTTTTTCTAAGTCGAACATTGTAAAAGTAAGTACCTTTCCATCTAGACGTATATATCTTTTCCCATGACTTGGGTAGATTTTGTATCCACTGTAGCTGCACACCTCGAGTCTGGAAATTTAAAGAAAATAACGAAATCATCAAATACTAGGAAGATCAAATGAAAATATAACATGTAATAATAGCAGTCTCTGCGTAAAGACTTATGAATATTTCCAAAACAATTAAAATCGACAAGTTTTAATCGTCGATTTTTAAAGAATCTGGGACGTAAAACCGCTAATATCGATTCAATTATGAAAAAGTGTTTCAGTTTCACAAGAATTTCATAAAATAACGAAAACGTTTTGCTGTTTCCTTGATTGGAACGGATTTCAAAAGACTTACTTTAGAACACGGCTCTACTCTCCGACGTTACTAATCAAGTCATTGGGCTTTATCTTGACTTCTGACATTGATGGTTGTTTTGTAAACTCTCTGAGCCATTCGTTAAAGGTCCTTTGAAAATTTTCAATTCTTTGTTGTTCAATTTGAAGGTATTTGTTTGAGTCTTGGTGATCATAATCATCTTCTATTGTTGCATGATGATGCTCGTGGGCGTTGTAAAATCTGTTTAAAACTTCGTTGAATTCTTGTGCTTTAATTGTTTGCTTCGCTCAAGCTTCTAAAGCTCAATTTTGATTTGGTGAACTCCTTCATCTTTTTTGTAACTGCGCCTTTTGCAGCAGATCATTTTCTTCGTAGTTGTTCAGACGTTTCGAGA